ACAGCTTCAATTTAATAATAATTATTCTAATTAAATTTACAATTTGAAATAATATTTATTAATCTCCTCACAGATAATTATAAAATCTTATAATTTTTACTTCTTTTACAAATAAACTAAAATTGAATCGGCTTGAACATATATATATTGTACATATCGGAAATATATAATAAAAATTTTTTATAAATAAATTAAATATAAACTTAATCGAAAACAGATTTTTTCCTTAAATAATTGAAATTGGAGATTTAATCACATTAGGGATTATTATATTAAACTTCTAAAAAGGTATAATAAGTATTATAAATATAATCAATACTATCTTCTACTATCCATTATCAATATAGTAATACATTTCTTTTAATTAGACATTCCAATTATTAACATCTTTCTACCTCAAATAATCGATTTAGATTATTATAAACTATCCTTAATTAAAAATATATTTTTTAATAAAGAAATAATAAAAGAATACTCAAAAGATTATTTAAAATATCATTTAAAATAATTAATTTTAACTTGAATCTTTATTAATCATTTATAACCTAAAATTACATTATATAAATCTAAATTAATAATAAAAAATAGTAAATAGAATTATTATCAAGCATCAATTATAAAATCAAAAAAAATTAAATAAATAATAACTTCACCTCTCACATTATTATAGCTTTTGATTTTAATTAATAATTTGAGTAGTTTAAAATAGGATTTAAACATAGGAAATAATAATAAAAGAAATATTCTATTAATAAAAATATAATCATTCACTCCAAAATCTATAAATACTTAGATATAATATAAATATTTATTTCTCGAAAATATATATAATAGATTTATAGAATTATCTCCCATTAGTTTTATTAAATTAAGGAATTTTATATTCCGAATTATACTTAGGAAGGAACTTTTACCTAAGCATTTTAATTTAAATACTAGTTTTTGATAATATAAACAAATTTGATAATTTCTACTTGCACATCTAAATTAATATTCTTTTCAATATTTTTTTTTATATCATAGAATTCTTTGTTTTCTTTAATTTCTTGAATTTCGGCCATAATACTTACATTACCCACACATAAAATAAAATTATAATTCACTTCCAATATAGGGATAGATATATTACAATTAAAATTATTTTCTAAAAATAGAATACTATTAAACTTAAAGATTTCTATATAATTAATAGGAGTACAAGAAAAATATAAGATTTGAATAAATAAATTTAGATTATTTAATAAACAAAAAGCAATTTTGGAAGAAATTAATAAAAAAATCCTATTAAATAACTTTCTAAAAAAAATCTTTTTAATTATTTTATTATAATTATATTTTCAAAGTATAATTTTAAATTTATTAATTTTAATAAATTTATTAACTAGATTTTTTATAATATAACATTATTAAATATAAAGATTAATAACTTATCAAAAAAATCAGAAATCTTTTTTTTCAAATTGTAAAAGAAAATTATTGGATTAATAATTTTCATTTATATAACTAATAGTCTAAATTTATAATATTATATTAGAAAATTTCCATATTACATATTATTTAGTATAATCTAGTATTTATACTCAATGCAAGTATAATTAATTTTAACTAGATTTTTATAAATAATCATAAACTAATTAATTAATTATTAATTTATTAAATAAGGGATTTGTGTATATAATAAGAATATATATTCTTACACTTCTCCTTCAGTTTATTTTATTATATAAAATTATTATTGTAATTTCAAGATAAATAAGTTTTTATAAAATTCAAATTATTCTATAATTAATAGTTATTAAAGATTTGTTTTCAATTCTATACCATCCTTAAATTTAAATAAAAAATTAATAAGCTTTGAAATATACAAATACTCTATTATAACAATAAAAAAACAAAAAAGAAATATTTATTAAATTTATGAATTATTTAATAAAACAATTAGAATTGAAGGGGATCTATTATTAATATTTGGAAAAGATTACCACAAAGATTGATTTTGTAAATAGAGTTTTCTTTTATTCTTCTTTTTTCTAATAATAAAAAATATTCTTTTAATAAAAATAATTAGAATATTAGAAATTCGAATTCCATAATTCTTTAAGGAATCTATATAATATTACTATCGAAATTAAAAAGATTGAAATAAATAAGTAATACTAGAACTATATTATAATAATTCTTTTTTAAACTTTATTATTTCGTTTTATAAGATTTTATAATCTATAAGAGTTAATAATTATTCTTTTTGAAATGAATAAGTGTATATTAATATACTACCCTCAAAAATTAATTTCTTAATCAAAAAATTGTTTTCTGGTTATTTGTTTTTTTTATATTTATTAATATTTATATTAGAATTAAAGGGATTATATTTATTATTTTATCGAAATTGATTATTATTGATTGAAGAAGTTTGGTTGATTATAGAGAAAGAGTAATAAAATCTTTTTGAAATAAATAAATTAGATATAATAACAATACTTGTAATTTAATGTATTTAAAAAAATATTTTTATTAAGTTTTAATTAAAATAAATCTTTTTTTTATAAATTATATTGATGTATAATTCATTTAAAAAGATATTATAGTTATAAAATATTATTTAAATAATTATTAAATAGCTATATGATTATATAAAAGTTATAAATAATATAATACTTTGTTTTAAAAAAATTGTAAAAACAAGATATAATTTATTTTTAAAATCTATAATTATAAAATCAAAAGTAAAATATTTGTTGAATATATTTATATATTAATTATATATATATAATCATATACATGCGTGTATGTGTATGTGAGCGATTGTAATTATGATTGGGTATCAATCCGTGATATATTTTGTGTATTACTAATAAACATATCGAACTCTTCTCCTTGTACAGAATCACTCTAATCTGGGTTAACTCTTCTAATCTTATATCTCTAATAGCTTAAATCCTGAGATACTGCTATAGATCGAATTGATATAATATAAGGAGGTAATTCTATATCTTTCTCAATAATTAGTAAAGTTCTAGAATAATTAAACTTTCTAATATTTTGAATATAATTCTTTGATTTAATAGACTATAAATCTAAACTTTTCCATACTGATTTTATATTTAAAAAAATAAAGGTTTTATATTGAATAATTATCAAATTCTATAAAAAATATATAATATTATATTCAAGAATAAATTCTATTAAAACCTTTTAAATAAAATACTAATATTAATATTTATATATTCTGAATATATCTATATCGAATAATTATATATAATATATAAAATATAGAATAAAACAAAAAGATCGAATATAATTCAAATTTATAAATTCAATAAATTCTAGTTATAAATAAAATCTATAATTATTTATAAATAAAATCTTCCATTTTTTATCTAACCTAAAATCTGAATATTCAATATAATACTTCAAAAACATTATAGCTATCTCGTTATTCGTAAATCCTAATACTAAGAATATAATTTGTATACCAAAAGATAAAGATTTCTAAAATTAATTCTATATTAAATCTTTTTTTTCTATAATAATCAAAAAAAAAAAGAAAACTACTAATAACATTAATAACTTCAAATACTATAATAGAATATTAATCCTTAGAATTAATAAAATAAAATTATTTAATTAACTTAATTCTATATATAAATCTTTAAACTACTTACCTCTAATATATTATCTAAAATTAAAATCTTTTATCTACACATACATCCTACTCTAAATTCTATTTTATTAAAATTTATAATCTATATCGTTTTTATAATACTTAATTCTTTTAAATAATTATAATAATTTTTAAATTATTCTTTAACATCCTTTTTCTTTTATATTTGAATATATTATTTAATAATAGACTTTATAATAATTGTATATAATTTCATCTTCTTCCAAAAACCTTTAAACTATTACTTTGAAAATACCTTTACTTCAAAATCTATTACACATTTGAAATATACAATAATATTGAAAATGAGTTTATAAATAAAAAAGATATCACATTTAAAAAGATTCTAAATAAATATATAAATATATTTAATTTGCCCATCAATTAATATTCTATTATACCCTTCAATCTTTCTAATATCGATATCATTAGCTATACAACTACATACACATTATACTGCCTTTTTGAATTACTCATACTAACAATCAAACTTCCATATTCTACATATAACACAAATAAATTTTATAAAATAATTTAAACAATATTGAATAGCTTCATTGTATCTCGATTTTTCTTTACTCAATAAAGATAATATTACTAATAAAATATAAGAAACAATATTTTATTAATTTTAATAAAATATTCAATAATTATAATATATTAAATTTAATATAATATAATATTCTACAATTGACCAGAGACAATTTGCTTTCCGGAGACATTTGCTTTCCCCAACTAGGAACTAGTCGGCCACTTATGAGAGCCGACTATTACTTACTTACCTTTACCTGTATTAGTCATCGACATCATCATCGTGAAGTAGGGAATCAACCAATGATATAAACGACACGTGATTTGTCATCATCTTGAAAAGTTTTGTTGCACATCTAAAATGTGTCGGTCGTTTACAAACGTTTCAATAATGTTTTCGAAATGTTTTGGTAAATCCTTTGGGGGAGCGGGCAGTCGGAAGGAATTTTGTTATGTGGTGATTAGCACATTGTAGGTGAATTTCTCGGGTTGAACCGAGCTGTGAGGTTCCGTATCTATTATTGAGCATCAATCTAGGTGACTAGGAAACATTAGATAGAGTACAATTGCAGTAACAATAATTCTTATTATTGAATTGTGGAAGAGGAAGAGGGAGAAATCATTGTCTTGGTTCCAGTGATGCTTATGTAACGAATCTATACATTTCAAGAGATCAGGCTTCTGGCGTCCAACAATTTCATCAACAAACTCCTAGCAATGATTCTATGAGAAACTTGATTTCCAAATACTACGGATTTCTTATCTCTCCATCCTGTGCACTCTTAAGCACTTTGACACAGCCGCAATGTCCATACCTCCAGGCGCACCTCAGCCATCATATATTCTACGCGGACATGCGACTCCAATACATGTAGCGAAGTTTATACGAGGAAATACGAGACTGGTTACGGGGGATGCGGAGGGATGGGTTGTGATGTGGAGTTTGGAGAGTAGGAGGGGGACTGCGGTTTGGAGGGCGCACGAGGGGGTTTTGCTGGGGGTAGGGGAGTGGGGAGAGGGGGTTATTACGTGAGTTTTGGGATTTCTTTTCTCTTGGAATTTTAGGGGTTGGGGGATTTGTGGTTGGGGGAAGAAAGAAGGGGAGGGTGTGGGATTAACTAGCCGTCATCATGTTTGGGAAAGGGGGGGGTGAGCAGAGAAGAACGTCAAGCTGACATCTTGAAGGCATGGAAAAGACAATAAACTCATAATATGGAAGCTTCCCCCATCAGAGGAGGAATTCATGAGCAAAGTTCTTCCCGTTGATACCGTCTCGGAAGAGAGGAGAAAACCATGGATTCTACATATGTTAGATGTCAACACCATGAATTTCTGCGCCTTTGCTATGTGTCCCTTGTACACGGATATCAAAGTAAAGGAGGCCGGAGAGAAGGGGAAAGACGAAGAAGCGGAAGCGGAAATTGAAAAAGACGAGAGAAGTGAAGATCAATTGTTAATTGCAGTCCCGAATACGTTAACATCCGAATCAGCAAGTAATCATGCCCGTGAAATAAGCAAGAGAAACTAACAATTCCAGATCGATATCTTCCATATTCCTACTCTCCATCGCCTACATAATATTCCTTCGCCTGGACCAGAGAAGCCAGGCATGATCATGTGTCTATCGCTCTTTTTCCATCCCATCACTAAATGCTTAACCGTTCTCTCCGGCTATGAAGATGGTTCAGTTTCCGTTTTCTCCTTCACTTCGCCTATCTCGCCACCCTCTTCTTTTCCTTCAGCTGTACCTTCATCTCAACCAACGAAATGGAACACCATATACCATTCCAAATCGCACATTCAACCAGTCCTCTCCCTCTCCCTTGATCCAAGCCCCGACCGCAAATTCTTCCTCACTAGTGGTGCTGATGATCGAATCATCAAATATTTAATCCCCACCACTACAAATCCCTTTTCTCCTTCTCCATCAACATCAAATTCAAAATCGATCATAAGCTCCGCTAAAGAGGAGCCCAAAATGCTGAAAACAGCACATGCGGGACAACAAAGCATAGAAACGCGAAACGATGGGAAGATTGCCGTGACAGGCGGATGGGACGGGAGAGCGAGAGTTTACGGAGTGGCGAAGATGAGGGAATTGGCGGTGCTGAAGTGGCATAAGGATGGGTGTTTTGCGGTTGCGGTTGCGGATGTTTTGGAAGGGGGGAAAATGGAGAGGGGAGGGGATGGGAAGGGGAAGGAGTTGGTGGGGAGGCTGGGGCAATTGGATGTTAAAGGGGAGAGATTGAGGAAGGCGAGGGAAACACATTGGGTTGCTGTGGGAGGGAAGGATGGGAAGGTTAGTTTGTGGGATGTTTATTGAGTGATTTGGAAAGAATTCATATACGCTTTCGACCGTAGAAGCTGCATGAGGCTGTAAGCTTTTGAAGTTGTGATGAATTGATAAGCTGTTGATAGGATTGAGAAATGCATATGCAAGTCACATTACATGTGCAGATGAAAATTAAGATTAGAATTATTCCAAAGGGCTAAAAGTAAAGTTCAAAAGATCGAACAGTGAGACAATCAAACATATATCGATCATCTAACAAATCATCACACCACTACACCAAACCACCTTCCTTGCCTCTCCAAATTCCCCTTCCCATAATGTATCCTCCCCAAAATTTCCTACCATCGCCCAAACCCCCATATTTATGCCTTACAAGGCGACACAACCTCCTCAGCCGGCAACCCACACTCCTCAGGTGTCACCAAAGTCCAATCCGCATCAATATTTCCCAACTCGACCGCTCTCCCATTAGTCAAAGTATTCATCGCACTCTCCGCAATATTAAACCCCGTAGCCGCGGCATCGATGGCCAAGATATTGATCGAGACGCCTTGATAGGTTAAGGTGTAACAAGTACCACAGTTAGGAGAATTCCATCCTGCGATTGTGGATGCGCCGCCGATGCGGGCGAAGGTGGGGAGATCGCCTTGGACTTTGTATTGGGGGAAACGGGTTTCGAGACCGTTGGGACCGTTGGAGCAGGAGACTGCGGAGAGGGAGCGAGCGGCGTTGTCGTAGCCGGGGTCGTAGGTTACTTGGATGGCGAGGGTGGAGGTGAGGAGGAGGGGGAGGAGAGTGAGGGTGTTGCGGAATTGCATTTTGAGTGAATGGTTTTGAAGGGGTTGTGTTTGTGTTTGGGTGAGTGGTATTTGGTATCGGAAGGTGGTTCGGTGTAGTGATGTGATGTGATGTGATGTGATGTTTGCCGAGATGTCGAAAGTTCTTGTCGAGAGTTGATGCTGTTGATACCCTTTACCTGGAGGACTCTTGCTTCAATTTATATCCATCGCGATGGCTTTTGTTGTTTGAAGATTTACTTGTTTACTATGTTACGCATACCTAGGACGTTTGCTTCCGAAATTTCGAGTTCCTCACAGTCCTAGAGTAGTAGGTAGATGTCATGAAGTTGTTTCATTTTGGTGATTAGATGAGTTACCATTAAGGTGCATGTTTTGATTTTGCAATAATAGGAAGGATCAAAATATTAGAGTTGGCTAGGAGATAGTTATTACTTCACGTTCTTGAGACGGCGTGGAGAAGAATGTTAGGAATGTTGGAAGTGCAAAAGAAGATTGTGAAGTGAGCGGCGTGCGGCTTGTTACCAAGATTCCAACTCTTTCCTAAATATAGACTTCAGATGTCCCAAAGATAGATGAATCCCTCTCAACCTTCATTCCCACTGTAATCGAAGGCTTCCTTGAGGGCTTGAACACGCTTAAATGTTTCGACTGAGAACGTCTTCAATAATCATGATCATCGTGGTCTGGCAGCTTGCCTTCTGTTTCTTCACCAAATTCTCGACGTGATCGTCAAAATACTACTAAGTATGAAGTTCTGTACTGAGAGACTATATCCACGCAAGTTTGAACAAGGACATAATGAAAAGATAGAAAATGATGAGTTTCTGAAGCTGGAGGAAGTTTGGGTATATGGCGAGAGGTCCGTGCACCACTCCAATTCACAAAGACGCTCCAGCTTCAGAGACCACACGAATTGCAAATTATAGCAAGTCTCATCTCAACTCTTGTTGTACTTGACATTGTACATGAGTTTTTGATTGTTGGATTGCAGTCCGGACTAATGAACACCCTGAGCTTACAATCGCAGCGCTCCAATACCGGAGGTCCGTATTGGTGGCTGGTATGATTGACTTTTTCTTGTTTTGATGGTATCAAGGGAATGTTCTTTCATTTTCTGGAGAATTTGGCGCCCTAACCGACATAGCGCTGGGCAGCCTACGACTTGTTCTCAACCGTTTCAGAGCCTAATCGAAAGGTGGGTTGTTGCTCACGAGGCAAGAAGATCCTTTGAATGAAGTATGAAACTTCGTCAATGATACGTAATATACGGATACAGAATCCTGACAGAGAGTTTAACTCATCGGCATCGAGGCTCCAGGGATAATTTGTCAAAGTCATCTATCATTGGTAGTAAATTGAAGCTTGCATACTCAAGTGATTTACTTTACACAACAAGTTCCTACGACCACGCATTAGTTCAGATATAAGTGAAAAGGACCTTGGAAACAGAGCTGATCGAGCACGCCAGTATGGGCAACGATTGTCTGATAAATTTGGTCACACGGACGAGTTATCTTCACTCTCCATAAAAACATCCCGAGAGCTGGTAGCGAGGCTGATTGGATACCGATACTCACACAACATCTGCCCACCCACTGCCCATCCACTGGGCATCAATATCACAATCAGTCATCTACCTCCATTGCTATCATTGACGATAAGCCAAAAGCCAAAACTCAAAGTCAAAAGTCGAACAGCCAACAGCCATCAGCTATTAGCCATCAACAATCAAATCGCCTACCATCATATGCACCAGTTGACCAGTCTGGATGTTATCCCACACTCACCCCTCCCCCTCCTCCCCCTCGCCTACTAAGCCCTATCTTCATCCACTCAAAACGATATAATATGGCTTGTGTCTAGATGTCCCATGTCTTGCTTCCATATCAATCCTTGATGTCCATCAAACTTTAAACTCTTGGCATATCGATAAGAAGATAAACAAGCTCCTCACCAATTAAACTGGGACCCCCACGTGCAGATTTCATACGTCAGTAAGTATCCCCAAATCCCATATAAAAGATCAAGATCCTTGAGTTTTGATCCCCTTCAATATCATCCATCCTCACGCGAATGGTATCGGAAATTGGAAAAAGAACCGAGAAGGGTTGAGTTATTTGGTAACAGTTACCTTTTTAGGGTCAATGCCTAGACACGTGCCTGTGTCTATTCCCAGGGGATCAGATTTGAGAAGGTCGCAATATGGTGGCGGTACGACATTGAATAGTACTACTACTGCTGCCAATATTGTGGTGGATAAAATGAATGCTGTCCCAGGATTTCTAGCTAGTGCTGGTGAGTTTCTTCATTTATATATTTTCTTTTGAGAAGTGTTCTTTTGTATTCTTTTTTCTGTTGAATCGCTGGTTCTCATTGTACGAAAAAAGTTTGTGGTGTTTGGAAGACAAAAAGTTTTGAAAAGGTTTTCTGTGAAACTTTCAGTCGTCTGAGCAGGTGGGAAGCTATTTCAACCAATCCAATTGATATTAACCTTCGTTGTTTTGTGGATTTTATCCCTCAATTGTGAGTGAGAAGATACTCTTCACATGTTAAATTACTTTATTTTCGCAAACGTTGACAATTTATCATCCAACACCAATTCACAAAAAGTCTGGTCAAGCTTATGCTAACAATAAACCCCCACCAGCTTTCTTTACTTTTCTTCGAGCAAATCTGGTCCTGCCACCATCAACACTCAATTCTACAACCTCAACTCCAATTCTGGGCGCATCATTTTCTCACAATCTTCCACCACTGCGCCCATCATCTCTCGCAACTATGTCTTCCAATATCGATGATGATACCATTGTTCCCGATCCCCTCGACGGCGTTCCCTCTCTCACAACTACCACGTTAGACACCCAAGAGGATAAAACGAAAGCTCTAAAACTAGTCGCAGATTCTATTGCCCAACAACGACAAATTGCTGCTCAAGCATTAATCTTCCATCCTCTTACTCTTACTTTTTACGCATTAATAATTGGAATTGTGACAAAATGGCAATACACAGACACCAGCGATTTGGGATTACTTGTAACCACACTAGCAGGAGTTACAATGGCATGTTTGGTAGCAATTCGAGCTGCTACTGCAGGGTATTTACACACGGCTGAGGAATTCAATTGGAATTTTGCCAAAAATGATGAAGGAGAGGAAGATGTTATCATTGGATCTCGATATGGGGAGGAACTCATTGGAGCACTTATATTGCGCATTGAACGAGCTCCTCATGTCAATGGATCGCCAAGGAAAGGAAAGAGTGGGAAGAAAGGAGGGAAAGGTGTCATCAGAGCATGGACTACAAGAGTAAGGTATAGAGGTACAGGTGTAGGAACAGAGATGTTGGAAGAGGCTGTTAGGGTAACGAGAGCGAAGTTTGGAAATTCCGCGGAGGTTGGTTTTGCTAAAGAACATGCAAATGCGAAGATGGTATTGCCGGAAATGTTCAATGGAGAGTTCAGGAGGAGGGAGAGACGGGCTGCAGGAGCATTGGAAGCAGTGGTCGAGGGCGGAAGAGGAAAAAAGAGGTAGGTGATTGGGTATAGACGGAATAGACATGTGGACTTTTGTATTTTCCGGGCGGTAGTTCGGATAGGGGTTCGGCCTTGGGTCAGGATTTTGGATATCATACAGGATTCGGTCATAGAATAGCATGGCAGCAAGAATGAGCTACTTCTCGGTGCTCTTGACAATCGTTTATAGCATAGCGAGTCAGTCTTTTGGTCAGGGATAGGTACAAATTAATCATATTACTATACGAGTAACCACTCCATTGAACTGCGTATTTAACTACACTTCATATGTTCAATGGCTCTCTCGCAACGGATGAATCCAATCGTGTACCAAAAATACATCCTTAACATTTACAGCATATACATAAGCACGAGAAACTACTCGATCGTCGATCTCATTTGTGAACCGAAGAATAACCCGAAGCATATGCACAGGTATACAAGTTTGGTATGTGGATTGTTTCGTCCAACATGTGCCTTGATATTGAGTTCAGAACCTCCTACCCCGCATCATCTGAGCTGAATTTGAGTATATTTGAGTGTAGCAGTATGATGATGATCGAAGTTCTAATTCTAGAATTGTGATTGTTTGATGACGTGCTGGCGTTGATTTATATGGACCACGGATCCCCATCACTGAACCGTGCAAGTTGATGGATCATGGAATGGATTTTGACGGGACTCGTCTCGTCTCTCAATGCTTCTTATCAGTGCTTTTCATTTGACAGGGGTAAGCTCTTTCGCTTATTGAGTGACTAAGCATATATTTCCCATTTTTTCTCCAAACTTTTCTCCAATTCTTTTTTAATTTTATTCCCATACTTCTTTTATCTCTCTCCCATTTTTATCTCTTGGATTCTCTACAAAGCACGAAGTATGGAGAAATCAACTATCAATTATCAATTCTTTTGCTACACATTCATTCCTTGAACTAATCTCGCAATCAGCATTGGTTAGCAAGCATGGAACCTCAAGGTTTAACCTCATGTGAGGTATTTCCTATCACGGATTGATAGCAAAACCGCTGATCTTGTCGGCTTTTGTCGGATATCGGGGTAACGGTTCAAGGATTCAGGAAGCAAAGCAGCCTCGGGCAGCGCAACCAGACTAACTTCCCCACATTCTCCATGCTTCCTTCCCCATTCAACTAAATATCACCCGAGGGAGCACCCGGATGCGTTCATTCGTCAGCTTGTACGATTGCTCGTACGGAACGTATCCGCTTCAACCGTCTGTTTGTTTTTAAAGCTCCCCCCTCTTCTTTCAATTGACTTTTTAACAACGTGAATTGGATTGTGAAGATGAGGGCAAATGTGAGGACAACGGCGCCATTTGTGCGGTCATTATTTCAATCTGTCCAACAGAGGAACTTCTCAGCATCAGTGGGAAGACAAAAACAATGGGGGTTTATTGGTCTCGGTCAAATGGGTATGTGAACTTTGAATCTGCCCCCCAATAAAAGAGAATCTTTCATTAACATTAGACAGGATACAATATGGCGAGAAATCTTCAAGCCAAATTACCTCCTGCCGATACGATACGAGTCTATGATATCAATACGGAAGCAGTGGAGAGGTTCACAAAAGACACAAAAGCTCTTGGGAATGGAGCTGTCGTCGAGGCTGCAAGTAACGTCAGAGAAGCCGCAGAAAATTCTGTAAGTTATCCCATTACATTTTTGTCTCTATCGCAATCAAAATCCTTCCTACGTTTTATGTGATGAGTTTGTTCCATGAATGATCTAAGTTGGGGTCAACCGTCTTGGTTGATCTTCTAATGATTTTTATATTATACAACAAAGCCAATCCTCTGATTTTATTTCAATCAATTGTCTATTTTGTCTGAAGAAATATCTGTTCCAATTGCTAATAGACACTACTTGCAGGAAACTACCATTACCGTTTTACCAGAGCCAGCACATGTGAAGAATGTCTTTAGTCAAATACTCAAGCCTCCACTTTCTACATCTGTAGTCGCCAATCCTGATCGTCTTTTCATTGATTGTTCCACAATTGATCCAACATCCTCTAGAGATGTTGCTAGGGCAGTTCATACAACACAACAAGGTCGATTCGTCGATGCGCCAATGTCAGGAGGTGTTGTTGGCGCAACTGCCGGAACTCTGACCTTTATGCTTGGTGCTTCGGATGATTTAGTTGATCGTGTGACTCCCATACTCACCATGATGGGAAAGAGGGTGTTACATTGTGGAGCTCAAGGTGCAGGTCTTTCCGGAAAGCTTGCCAATAACTACCTTCTGGCGATCAATAACATTGCAACAGCTGAAGCCATGAACTTGGGAATAATGTGGGGTCTTGACCCACAAGTCCTAGGTAATTTGATTAACAGTAGTACTGGCAAATGTTGGCCAAGTGAACTTAACAATCCCGTCAAAGGTGTTGTAGCTGGTGCACCAGCCGAACGAGATTATAGTGGAGGTTTTGGTATAAGCCTCATGAAGAAAGATCTAGGACTTGCATTGAAAGCAGCAGAAGAAGTTCAGGCCAAACTTGAGCTTGGTAATAGAGCTCGAGAGGTTTATGAAACTGTGGAACAACAGGAGAATTGTAAGGGCAAGGACTTTTCTGTTGTTTATAGATATCTTAGCAGTTCGGGGTAACCATATCACGGAGTCGAATAAATGAAAATGAAGATATTCCCCCAAAAATATCCTGTACGTACTATGTGTGAGCTTAGCAGGTGACTTGGTGAAAATTGCAGTCGCGTATCGTAGGTTTTACTAGATATTCCTTCGATGTATAGGTAGCCCTCCAGAATTTTGAATCAGTCTCTTCCGCCTCACCTCAGCAACCACGTCATCAATTGAAATCGCAAAGCACAACTTGTATTCTTATTTCCCCCGTCCTCTAGATGAATTCATGCAAGTCTATCATCTATACCTCGGTGCGTACTATACAGCAATAGCTACCTTCCTTCACGTGATTGATAACCTTATTCATTTTCGATGCGTGTAGAAAGCCTGTTTTCTTGCCCTTTTTCTTTTCTTTAATAACCTTAGATAGCTTTACTCTACTCACTTGTCTCATTCCAATTTCCAGTCATATCGATATGCACATCCGCATCCTGGATATCCACCTAAAATGCAAATTCTCTCTCACCCTCGCTTTCCCCCACCCCTAACAATTCCCTCTAATGCAACCTCCTTAATCCCTCCACTACACCTCTCAAATCCTCCGCTTTGACACCTAGCCCCTCCGCCACAAGTTCCTGCACCTCACTCTCCAAATCCAGAAATCTTTCTATCAACTCCCCGTCTACGAATCTGAAGGGTTCGCTGGTTTCCCGCGTGGCGGATATGTAGGAACGGTATTTGTTGAAATCGAGATTACCGGGCGAGAGTTCGATTTGATGAGGGGATGTGGAGTCTGAGGATTCTTTGAGGGACGAGGCGGAAGGGAGAGATGCTAGACGGGTTTGGAGACGCATTAATAGATCTTGATTTTGTGGGGGGATAAGAGAGAAGAGGTAGATTGATCCTTCGGTCTAGGAGTTGTTAGTATCAATGATTAATTAATTTGAGAACGGGGAATAGGGGACGTACTGTGCCGAGAAAAGCTCTCGGGATCAATAGAGCATCTTTCGATGTTTCCACATTGATCCTCTTAACCCTATTGACCATCTCTCCAAGATTCATCTCACAAGTAACTTCCATTCTGAATTTATCTTCTGTCGTAACACCCTCTCTATTCCTCTTCAACAAGATTATATTCCCATCGTGATCTGTTTCCAAATACGTATCTGTATCTACCTCTGCAACACTCGTTGAGAAGACTTGTTGTGCATGTCTTGCCACCTCTTCGAGTTTATCTGGAAGACCATCGGTTCCGGGTGTATATTCGACCAACGCAACTGATTTCATAATATCCGCTACTGCTATTATATTATCTGTAATATCGATATCGATGGGACAAGTTGAACATCGATATGTTGCTAGTTTATTAAGTTTGGCGCATGTTGTGGATGTTTCCTCATAGTCGTACATTACGACTGTTTTATTGAGTGCCGCTACGATTTTACCATCGAGTACACCAATGCATCGACAAGACCCTTTGAGGTTGTGAGAAGCGATTATATATGGAGCTCTGTCGGCATTGACACCAAAAATAAGAAGACGACCACGAACATTCGCTTCTTCCTCATGAAGGAAACTTGTACCGACAAGGAAACGCTCGACTAATTCGCCACTGCCATGTCTTGTTGGAAGTTCCGCTCGTATAACAGTCTCGATAATTTCATTATTTGGTGGCAAATAGTACGGTTCTCCTAGCTCACCGAAAACAACCTCGTCGACAAGCCTGAAAGAAGTCGTGACAACTTCTTGTCCCTTTGTCAGTTCCCGCTTGATAGCTCCAATCGCAAACGATTTCTCTTTGGCTGAATATGCTACCCTCCTTACAGTCTCACCAATCGGTAAAGTTCTGACATGTGTTCTTCTCTCGTTGTCGATGACTGCGAGCTTGAGTTCATTTGTCGTAGCCACAACTACTGAATCTGGATACGCTACACTGTTCAGCGAACATACTGCGATTGCATCTTCAGCTGTGACGGCCGAATACACAGTTCTACCTTCAGAACCGTATATCAAGCTAGGATGCTCGCATGTTGCAAAAATATTAAAAGTTGTGTTATCCCGTGGTAAAATTTGAAGTTGCGCCTGTTGTGTTCCAAGGACAATACTTTTTCGTCCCGAAAGTGAACAATCTGTCTTGTCGACATTGAAGCTCAACACAATACCATCTTCCATACTGACAAACAATGTTGGACCTGAGAGTTCTGGGGGTAGAATTTGAGTAAGAGCAATATCTCTCGGTATGGAAGCCCCGTCAGCTCGTCGTAGATCTTCAGATACGATAGTATTGAGGGTTGCGAGATCAAGCAGAGATACCGATCCCGACTTCCATAAGCCAATGACACCTATATCACCCAATACTTGGGGTACATGTATACAAGCTACTTGATCATCTCCAAGCTCCTGAAATGCGACCTCTGTTAAATTCTGTTGAATTGATAAAGTGACCAGGGTACGTCCATTAGACGAAAGTAAAATATAATTCTGGTTTCCTGAAGCTGCCGTGATTATCTGTCCGGCAGGAGGTTGCCATCGATGACCGGGAGATTTGCCATGTATTGCTACCTCATGTTGTGTGACTTGTAATATACAGCCTTCATCAAGGTTATAAGTTAGTAATGTTTCCGAGGCAGAAGACAAATTCTTAATTGTCTCCACTTCTTCAATATCTCCTTGTGAATCAAACTTAAAGAATCGAGTCTCTGTTGAAAACGACACTACAAGAGTATCATTCGGTAGACTTGGACCAGAATGTAACGCGAAGACCTTGCGAATACCCTCCATTTCGGCAAGTATCGCAGTATCATCAAGTCCAACTCCACTCCGAACACTTCTTAAACTTCCTCCCTCAAATCCTCCACTGCTCGTTACTAATCGAGCCTGGCCTGAAGAATATTCATTCAATTGAGTCTCTCCCTCTCGCCCGCCCATGTCCATGACCGTGAAATCGAGTATTGGAGCAATATTCGGCAGTGTCTGTAACAAGGTAACGCCATGTTCTGGACTCTCCAAATCTATTTGAACGACCTGATTGTCCGCTTCGTGAGAAGCAATATAGAAGATTCCATTCCCCAAGTTCTCCAAAGATGTAGGCTTAGACACCTGACCCAATTTTACAACTTGTAGTCCAGTAACTGTAGCGCCATCGACCAGTATTGTTAAAATGTATAGAAAGCCATAATCGTCCCCCAGTAGATAATTTCTCTCATCTATCGGTTCCCACGCCGCCCATAATACAGCTTCATCCAACGCATATTCGACAATGGCTTTACTCTCATCATCCAGATATGTAAACTTCGTTTCTCCCAAGACAACTAGCCCTCCTAGATTAGCCTTGGCAGTCGTGGCGTTCCTAACAATATATCTCTTGCTCGCCTCATCTCTCGCCTTGGGAACCGGTATGATATGCATAGCCCCAACACACAAATCATCCACATCATTCTCCCTATTCTTCTTCGGATCAAACTGTAAAATGAGCTGTCCCTTGTCATCCAGCATCCTATATGTTGCCAATTTCACATTCTCCCTCGCATCCTGATACAGCAAAGCCAATTTCGGCTGTTTAGTATCCGTATACAAAAATGCACTCGCCCGAACCTTCATCTCCGAAATCCTCACTTGTTCCGGGTTCTCCAAGTAATCCGTCTTGCCTCCCCTAGGCTTTACAATCTTCACCAAATTCAGCACTCCTTCGTACAATTCCATAACTAACAATCGCCCCGTCGGATCCACAAGACACCTATCCCTACTTTCGGAATCCCGCATGTGTTCTTGGGAGACATCGACGAACGATTGCATGGTATCCAGTTTATGCGTCTGGGGATTCCACATCACGGTAAAGTATTGTGCTCGAACGGTCCCTACGAAGAGATGGTCGGTCTTGGATCCCGCAGGTTGGATCTTTTGCAGCATGGATATGCGGCCATATATGGATTTCGAATATGCCATCGTGAGACCTTCTTCTGTGGGCCTCCATATTTCTAATCGATTTGCTTTGCTGTAGAGAAGTCAGCATTCCATTGTGTTATGCATTTGAATCATGGAATCTTGTACAGATTACTACTTACGCAAGTACCAGACATTCCTCTCTATGATCTAAAAGATTCAATCGCAGTGTAAGTCGTACACTACTTGGTCTATGTATTGGGGCCAGATACGCCATATTGAATCTGTAAATTGCGTGGAAGAAAGTGTGGTAAAACTGGTATGTTGGGGTGGGATGGCGAGCTTAGGATAGCAAGCAAGTAAAGCTACCCACCTAGTAGGTATCGGCCGAGCTGTGGTTGATAATGAATGACGCCGGAACTTTTTTATCGTTATCGCCTGCCTGTATTCGGATTTAAGATATATCAAGCCTCACGCACAGTACTTTGATTGATACCTACCAGTAGCTAGAGTCGATTTATAGATGAAATATGAAAAACGCTACTCGAGTACGTACATTCAAGATACATACAACAAAAACACATTCATTCTATCTCAAATGAAGTATACAAATACCAAATTCTTCTGCTGAAGTATGTTCAATTGTCTACCTAGTATCTCGTCTACCAAGGACATGTGCGGGGTATCTTTTTTGATTTTATACGCCAGAGAATGAACCCATATCATACAATTCTATTCTTCATCATCTGCATCAAGATCAATCGTTTGCGCATCCACCTTGGCCCTTGACATTTTCGCAGCATTATTTGGCGCACTGATTGTATCCATATATGCCATATCATCTATCCCAGTGGTTAACTTTGGAACCACATCTGGCGAAAGTTCTTGCTCTTCTCCTTTCTCATCTGGCTCAGGATAGATAAACATATTTTCATGATAGCATTCCCAAGCAGATTGATGATCCTCGTCAACATATCGGTGCTTCACCCATTGCTCTTGTTGCGCAGCAGAGATTCGTACGCCAATATTGTCACTCCCATCTTCTTCTCCGTCAATACTTGACTTAACCGTCATATGAATAGCTCGAGCTTCGGTAGCCTTTGGTGCAGGTCCTTCGCGAGGTCGGTTTTGCTTTTCCTGCTCTACATGTGCGTCGATATGATGAAATTGAGGCCTCATTTGTACCATATGGTCAATTGGAGTGAGGTGGAGTTTATCTAGATTAAATTAGCATCTTGCCCAAGAATGAAAAGAAAAAAAATCTCCAATTACCACTCTGAAAAGCGCCTAGAAAGTATTGAGGACTATTTTGGTCGACCGGAATGATTTGACCACCAAGAGTTTGCTTAACCAAAACCTGCTCCGTCCGAATAGCGCCTTCAAAATCCGCCATTACCTTCTCAGGGTCAAGCTCTTGTGCCCGTCCTCTTCCTCTGCCAGTTGGTTGTGCTCCTCCAATTCCAAAACCACCGGGTAAACCATGACTTCCTCCACCCTTAACCATTTGACTCTTCTTGATAGCATCTCCCCATTTCACACCCTTATCCTTATCATAATTCCTGCGCGCATCGATTGGAACATCCATCTCGACCATTCCGGCCTTTGGCTTCGTTCGAAATTTGAGAGGTTGAGCATCATTTGACCCAGCGTATCGTTGCTCAATATCGCGATTGGGAAATTGTAATACATAAATTTCTCGACCTTCAGAGATATGAGGTTTAATGAAAATATCATAAGAGCTGACTATTGGATCATCCTCTTCCTCCGTATCGACATCCACATTATTTCCCGGCATATTTGTCGTTTGTGAATTATATGTACATTCGTAATGCGCAACGGATCAAATCTTGAACTTTTTTAATCATCAAATGTCTGGACTTAGAGAGCGACAAGGATTGTCTAGCTGCAATATTAGAGTCCGACTTTCCGTTCACCTTATCGATAAACCGACCAAGGCTGCATCATTGCATTAACGCTAATTTCAAAGAGGTAAGGATGATTTCCTTGTGCCTCCTTTGACTCGCAAGGCCCGATCTCCGATGACGAACCACCTGCACAACCAAGAATCTGCTCTGCTTCGCCCGCGAACAGAGACATTTGATTTCGCATAAATCCAAAACCGCTCCTTCGACCAACTACCATTCTTTGTAGAGTAAAAGAACCCTTTAAACCTACAAAACACACAATATCATATACACACATCAAACAAATCAAAAATGTGCTCATCCGATATCTTCCTCGGCTTAATCGCCATTCTATTCCCCCCTCTCGCAGGTAAGCCTAACAATTCCCAACTCTATACTCCTTCCCCGAACCCAACAACCACATGTTGTAACCCACGCCCCTCCCAGCACATCTTCCCCCTCACACCCATCTACCATCACCTATCCACTAACCCCCACCCCTCCAGTCTGGGTAAAACGCGGCCTCTGCTCCGCCGACTCCCTCATCAACATTCTCCTCTGCATGCTCGGTTTCCTCCCGGGTCTCCTGCACGCCTGGTACATTATCGCCAAATTCCCCGACCAAGACGCTCACTACGACGCCATTCCCGACTCGGAAAATGCGCGTGTGACATATGTCGTCGTACAAGGCCCCAATGGACGAGCGCAGCGAGTACCCAAGAAATCGAACGGATCGCAGAGACAACAGCAAGGGTATGGAACTAATGCTCCGATGGAAGCACCTACAGTTCAGCAACAGCAGAATGGGACGTGGACGAATGCGGGAGAGGGACAGGGACAGGGTGGAGAGGGAAGTAGTGGAGGGGCGGTGCCACCCACGTATGCGGAGGCTGTTAGGGGAGATCATAAGGTGCAGTCGAGGGATTAGAGGGAGGTAGATGAGTGGCGAGCTGGGAAATGGGATACTGTGATATGAATTAAGAATGAAGAATGACAGAGGGATATCCAGGTTGGGTTGATTATGAGCAGACCAATGCGAACCGGCGTAAGTTGGGTAATGCGGGCAGGATATTTTTAGTTTGTTCGCGGGAGTTTTTTGCTATTTGATTTGCTTTCACATGGCACAACACTCAGCACAAAAACATGTATTAGAACTTTTCTTCTCGGCAATATTGTGTATTATTTGATTATCCCATCAAGTTTACTGGGGCTTCAGGCCAGCTACCCCAAATCAATGGTCTATCCGTGACTCTCGTATTAAGCGGTGCCAGAATCTTCATTCTCTTCTTCTTCTCATCGGCTTCTGCTACATATACAAAGCCCATGACACTCGCATCACGAATAGTATCCTGAGAATCGCGAGTCGATGCGTGCATGACAGCGAATATGCAATGCAACATCGAGGGTGTTGGCTCTACCTTTTCATATTGTGTGGGTTCGGCTTCTTCTTCTCCTCCGGGCAAAAATGCACTTTGCATCGAGTGTGCTTGTGGAGTGTTAGTGTTCTGAAGATACTATGAGATGAGAGGGCGGAGAAGAATATTGCATACCTTCTTTGACTTTATAAATCGAAAGCTCGTCGAAATTAACAAGTTGTGTGTGTGGACTCAAGGTCCTTTTTGCGTCTCCGAAAAAGTATTCCTTGATAGTTGCTTCCCGCATTTGCTGCATGAATGTATCATCTCTATCAACACAACCGCCTGACTTGTCTAACCTGACGAGAGTAATGGCTTCTCCGTTATCAGTCTTTTGGGTTGAGAATCGCCGTAACATTTCACTGTGTAAACGTTCCGAGCCCAAGACCAGAATAACATTAACTGTCAATCCCATTAGTCCACACTCTCCTTCAAACCCAAATTTCCAAGCCAATAAACTCACCTGCAAACTCTGACACAATATGAGAAATCAAATCATACCCTCCCTTCCCCTGACTAATCACCCCCGGCGTGTCAATAATCATGCCCGTCTCCCTACACACCGCATCATCCTGCAGCCTACTCGTCGCCGCCAACGCCAGCCTCGTGACCACCGGCTTAAACAACTTCACATTATCTTCCGGGCTCGGAAGTCCATAGTAATAACACAACGGCAGCTTCACCGGCACGGGACTCGGCCCGCTCGTTGAACTACTCCCCCACCCCTCCTCCACATCCACAATACTCTTGAACGCCGCCGCCGTCAAACTCCCCGGTATACTCAGCATTCCCTCGCGCGAATCCGTATTCACGACGATTGGTTGGCGCCCCATACGGATCGCATACGCGGTGAGCAGTTTCGCCAAGCTGGTTTTCCCCGTATTATTAGGTCCGACGATGATCACACGCGGGCCATCCTGTCCTGCTTTCTTAGCGTCGGATCGCAAGTTCTCCAGCGCGAAATGCGTGTTGATGTAGGAGATCATGGGGGTTTCCTCCGCGGTGTATTCCTCGCATGCTCCGTTGACTTCGATTCGACAGCCGTGCCAGGTGTAGATGGAGGATTTGGTGCCGTGGAATGTGTATGTGTGGTTGACTGCGAGTTCTGTGCCGAAGATTTCTGCGGTGCCGGAGAGGACCTGGGTGAGTGATTAGATTGAGGGTTTTTCGTGGAGAATATATACTATCATGGAATTGAATATTATAGAAGCCATACCTTGACTTCAATACTCGCCCCGATTGCGACTTCGAAGCGCCATTCCGAGTTAGCTTGAAGCTCATGAATATTTGTATGCGCAACGGCTGCTGGTGCTGCAGTTCTCTACACCCAACGAGTTAATAAATTGAGTAATTTCCGAGTTTCATTCATGAATTACTACTCACAGCAGCATGAACAGCTTGACCAAGCCCCGGTATCGACATGATTGTGTCTAGGTATGGTTACGTTGGAAAGATGTGGAGCATGGGGTAAAGTTTTTAGCTAGGGAGCGGGAGTGTAGTGTCGAGCTCCCAGTTCAAACATATGGGGTTTCAAGGTTTCCGTGGCAGGGGTTTCTCAGCCTTACGGTGCGCTATGGTGGTTTTATTCACGCGACGCGTTTGTCATGTGAAATTTATTAGTTAGTTAGTTGGGTTTACTAGTCGACATCGATTTATATATTTTGGAAGTATAGAATTTCAATAATAAAAAATCATCGAATAAATTTTGGATGGGTGGATGGATAATTTTGGTGAATTTTGAATAAACAGGTATCTTGTTAGGTAGGCACTCGATACATACTAATAAAACAATTAAATGAGCGCCTACCGCAGCGAGCTTTGAACATCAACATATTCGACATACAATTCCAGCTTTGCTATGTAATACTTCCTGAAATGCAAAGCCCAACAACTCCCAATCTAGCCCCTTGTTTGATTAGTCGGTAGAATAAGCATACCGTAAGCTCATTAGTACTTCACGGTAGTACGTCAGAGACCGGGCTTGGCCGATAGGGACAACGCACTTTCAAAGCCACCATCGCCTCACGTTATGAAGTTGAGATGCGCATTCTTCACCATCAATCATACTAAGCATACATATTCGAATATAGACACGAGAAGAGCGCGGACCATGAAGTTAAGTATATATTATTAACCGTGTCTAAACCGGATAGATGAGAAGTGAAAGCAAAATGAACGCATATGCTTGCATATGCAGACTTCTAGATGTCCAATCGCAGTGGGGTATCTTAATCTTTTAATAAACAGCCATGCTCATGTATAGTTGTGTGCCCTGTCCAAGCAACTCCATGAAGACACCTTGCATTTGACAAGCCCATGACTCCTATAACTCCCGCACACCAGCAGCTCTCCTAGAGCATAGTATACTCAATATGCCATTGGACATTATTATAATCCTGTCCATTATGACTCCGCCAGCTTCTCCAGAATTTTTCCCACGCTACGTACTCCCACAAGAGAATTTTCATCCGGTCCTAGGCCCGGAGTCCATGTAGCATGAGCAAAGTCTATGACCTTTAGAGAATAGATTTTGGGGAAAGATTCTTCTTCTAAGTCTTCATCTTCCTCGTCGTCTTCAAAGGATGAGTGAGTTTCTCCGGATGATGATGAAGCATGTTCCATAGTGGTTGGAGGTGGGGTCCTGCTAGCTTCTTCCATTGCAGCGCGTAATGCTTTTCCATCGCCCTCAAAAACGAAGAGAAGACTAGCAGAGTACATTCTGCTCTCCTGACTTTCCAAGGCATCCTGTATTCTTCTCAAATCTGTGAGAAAAGCCTGGGATATTAATCTTCCTAGCTCGTTGTCGATACCAGCGGATTCTGTGAAGATGAAGTTCTTGAATGCTTCGTGAACATTGCTATTATTTAATTCGAACCTGCCGTAATCTTTATTATATATTCTGTAGCCATCTTCGTCTATATCATCGCCTTTCGCATCGGGTCCCTGCCATACTCTCATACCTGCGATGCGAAAGCCAAGGTCTTTGTGTGTGGTTTGTTGCGTAACTTTGTCAAACCTCTTTTTTTTCTCTTGATGAGCATCATCTGCCCATAATCGTACACCAAGCTTGACGTCGAGAATATTAGGCTTCACGAAACCGTGCGATGCATTCATAAGAACCACGGCTTGATTGGTAGTAATTCTCTTGCCATTAGTCCTGCCAGGGTATGACACTTCAGGTTTGGCATGCTGCGCAATCAGCTCGGTCGCCTTTTCTTCAAAAGATTTATTGTGGTTCTCATCCAGTTGCAAAGTTCCCAGAAATTCGGGCATAAAATCGTAAAAGTCTTGGTGCCCTGCTATAGTGTCGTTGTAGAATGCGATCTCGGTATCGGTGCAAGGTTTGATAAACAATTCGCCATCAATATCGGAAAGAGTGCCGTCACTGTTTGAGGGTTAATGGTTTAAATCTCACAAGATCGAAGGTGACCTTGAGACTTACTGCCCTGCGACAGCATAGTTGCAATCGATCAAGTCGGCATGAATTGGGAGAGGTTTGGCCATTGTCGCTTTGTAGCTTTTTTTGGTTGTCGCAAAGTCTCAAGAGAAGATCATTATTGAAAGGAATGTGTTGGAATATATGTATCAAGTGAAGGAAGAACCAGGAATAGGTTTTTCCTTCTATTTGTCTTCTGGCGCTAGAGAAAGAAGAAACCTTAATATAAGAGTGGTAAGAGTAGGTAAGAGTAAAGAGTAGGCTGAGTATTGTAAGGATGTGTGCGTGTGTAAGTAAGTGTGTGTGGTAAAGGGGCGTATGGGAGTGAGACGTTGGTCTGTCGTGGCTTCAATAATGATTAATTAATAAAAAGAGAACATTTGAGGATCATGAGGAGAGTGTACCGGTGGTTATCGAGATTAATCAGATTTCCGCTTTCACATTGGGCGCGCCAGATGAACCCAGACGAGCTAAGGGACAATTCTACAATTCTATATGCGGGAAGTAATTAATAAATAGCGAGATAGCATAGCTAGCTAGTGTAGCTTGCCGAGAGATGGCAAACCGCTGGAACCTTTCCTCATAAAGGAAGTGTAGCGCCTCCCCTCATCAGGTGTAGAGGAGACTCTCGAGATGTTCCCTTTCGACCCAGTTTAAGTCCAGAATAGTACACGCACCAGATGCACGATTCCTGCTGATTCCGCATATTTTATCCGACACTGCCACGGCCGTCTGCAATGTACCCTCATCAATGTCACCAAGTACCTTCTTTACATCCTTCCAGCATGACATGGAGGGAGGGAGGGATTCATGAACGAGTAAGCGTCAATAACTCTAATGCGAAGATGTGCTGCCTTGCAGTAGTGTGAGAAAGGGGACGGTCAGGACCAGAAGGAGAAGCAATGTTTGGGCAAAGGAGTTTCTATGGAATACTAGGTACACAAGCTCACAAGGCATTCTTCATGGCGGACGGATGGCGACCGATGTTGAGGCATCAATAGAATCATCCCAATCCAATAGGAAAATGGGAACAGGGCATGAAGGATTACTTAATGATCTACCTGGTAGTGGTGTACAAAGTAGGTATTTTTCCAATGGTCTTTAACATCACCTTCCATCCATACATACATACATCCATACATACATCCATACATACATCCATACATACATACATCCATCCATCCATCCATCCATCCCCCATCACCACAATCTGCAGTTCCCCGCAACCAGGATCTTGACTTTCAACGGCAAACCTTATGAAAAAGGTACTCGGCGGTGCTGGTGATAGAAAGGCGGGTCTAGTGTTTGCTCGCTCGTTTGCAAACCAGAAGAACCAGAAGTTGATATATTAGCAAATCCAATGAGTAAACACCGGTAGGTAGAAGTGGAAAGGTGCATCAATATCAATAAGTGATATCAAGATTTACTTGACTTTATTAGTACCCCCGTTTTCAAAAAGATACCAACCATGTAAGTACATTCATTTTCATTATTATTTTCGTTTATCTGGTGTGCGCCTTCCTTGCTTGACCTTACCGGCGGCTTCACTCTTTTGGTTACAATTTCTTCACCATTCTGGGATTTCTCAGTCACCACACCATCCCATCATACACACATGAACAGTTATTTTCACTCGAACCGCATCAGCTGTTGTATCCAACCACACACACATACACACACACACACACACACATACAATTCAACATCTAGTCAATGTGATTCACTCTTCACTTCCACTACTGTGTCATTGTTTGACAATATCTCCAAGAAAAAACACTGCAAACGAAAAGTGTGAAACAATCGCACCTATACAATCAATTCATCTACCGTTATTACACCACCGCCTGGGCTTGGAAGTCTTATAATTACAGATTCAACTGACCCTGGTTCACTCCGCAGTTTACGCAGTTGTTGACCTTTGCAAGGTTTCGTTTTCTCTGCGATTTCTTCATAGCACTTGTATCAAATTATTTGAAATTCACTTTGGGATTATTTAACCCACAATATAAGATTCACCTTGACTTGATTTGACTTGACTCGTCATATTGGGCTTCAATCACTTTCTGAAGAAACCTTCGCAAAGAACTCGCAACTTCCCCACAACCACTACAATCCAACAACATCAAGGTAGTCGAGGTAGTGTTACCCAACTCTTAATTCTTGCACAGCCTTCTATAATTCTTCCTCTTGTAATAAAACCCAACCAACCAAAATTCGCCGGCGTAAGTACCGACAGTTCTTCTCCACCAAGTGGTTCTACATTATTGGTTACGATACTAATCCATCCATTTGGGTTAGGTAGCTCAACATCATGGCGCCTCACTCTGTAGGTCCTGAACCTGAGGAGTTATCTCGTGCCATCAGCGAGCTCGACTTAACTGCCTTACGGGGGGTTGATGGAGCTACTGACGAATCCGACATCAAAATGGGCAAGCGCTATACAAGAGATCAGCTGTTGAGTATCGGTTCAAAGTCGAGCTCCAGCGATGATGAGAGAATTCATATCAACGTCCCAGAGATTGCGACCGGTATGAAAACACCACCAGCCCCTCCAAGAGTCCCACCTCCAACCCCAGTCCATCTGTCAGTTACCCCCGCTTCTGGTACAAATACACCGGTTGCTAGACTCCCCGTCACTCCTGAAGAGCCCGACAAGAAGGAAGAAGGCGCAGTTGATGGAGGCGCAGATGGTGACGCAAAAGTTACTGAAGGTGGAGAGGGTGAACCCAAGAAAAAGAAGAAAAAGAGCGGTGGAAAGAAAAAGGCAGCAGGTCCAACGGGATTTGAGGGTATGCAAGACCAGTTACACATGAAAAACTTGAATATACCTCTAACGTGACACTATAGAATTCTATGCCGACCCACCTCTCACTCCACATGAATATGAAGAGGAATGTGATATCTACCACGAGTAAGTACTTCATACCTTCTCAGTCAACTTTACTAACAACTTTGCAGAGGCCGAACATTTGCTGCGTATGCAATCATTTCCGAAGTAGATTTCATGAACTGACAAGATTTCAAGGCGTATTGAAACATGCATCCAGAGATACAGAGCACGGTAGTTATTCATACGTACCTCGTCAACATACAGAATTTGTTAGCTAACGATCTGGTTATTATTAGGCGCAAGTTTGATAGCACTCGTGCGAATATTCTTACAAAGTATTTTGCTTTGGGTGGAATTGAATCTGGCACCAAATCTTTCAATGGTGGTCTCGATCAAGAAACATTAGAGAATTCCACTGCAGCTGAAATTGCCGCCATTCAAGCTACAGATTTTGTCCGAGCTAGCAATGCCAAGTACTATGATCCCTCAGATACCGAAAATTGGGTTGTGGATTGGGAGGGAGTTGCCAAGGGCTTTCTGTGAGTTGCCGTACTATGAGCATATCTTGTCCAATACACTAACAGTTCCATAGGTCTTATAGAGCACCCAGAATACTTGGTGATGGAGCAGAGGAAGTGACCATGTTTTGCGGAGTGGTCAAAAACTTCCTAAACTACGTCTTGGCTCATGAGGTATGTAAAGAATATACTAAAGAAATCATGGCCGCTCGGCGATTATGTGACGTGGCCGAAAGGGAATTCGATGCAATCCGACGTCTCCGTCAAATGTTTCCCGGCGACTTCAACGTAGCTGCTTCAACACTGTTTGGTGAAAACTACAAGCGAAACTTTGAGATCAATTCCGCCTGGGCTAACCCCGAGGACGACTTAGATCAATGGAATTCTAACATACCAGTACTCAGTTTGCCTGTTTGTCAATTTGTCTTTGGAGGAATTGTTGCTTTCATTGGCGACAAAAGCCACTTTGAGAAAGCCAAGAATGGTGATATTCATGTCGTAACAATTGAAACCAGATTCCTGGAGGTGGCAGATATCCATCGAGCTTCTTCAGAAGTGGTTAGGGAGTTCCCGCATGTTAAAGATCCTCGAGGATTGGGTGCTCTAAAGCCAATCGGAAAGCTCTTGTGCAAATCTTGGGAAGGTCCTGGCTATAACTACGAAGACAAGACGGACGACGGAATCGATGAGCTTGATGATTCCATCGAAGAATTCTGGATTGAGGACGAAATTTTGCAACAATGCTATCCGGGTCTCAAAATTGAAGTTGTTGTTCATGAGCTTAATATCGGTGTCAAATATTTTGATCAAGTCGTGGAATTCTTTCCTTCCTTCCATCTTTACCTTCCTAATGAGAAGATGATGGGCTGGAAAGAACCTGGTGAGTATTTGAATCATTACACGTTCGGAAATATTGTGCTGATAATTGCTAGTCCCTAATGAGAGACCGCCACCAACCGAGGACGACCCCGATGCCGAGGAAAAAGTCATGGATGCTATTGCGAAGGATGCTGCCAATGAGGTAGAACGTATCTAACACTTTGAGTTTGATAGTTATTGCGTTGACGATTAAACCACATGATGATACTTTCTGTGAGCTTCGTTTAGTTTCATAGTCGATATTCTGGGGAGGTCTGATTCATTTCTCTTGCGGCTGGCAAAGTCTGTTATCTTTCAAATGGTCTTCATATCGGCATCGATAGGGTGAATGGTCGTCTGCATGGATATACGGTTTTATGAGGTATGAACAGAACTATTATTGCATCGCCGGGTTTCATGGAATGGAGGAGTTAATTTGGGGGAAGATTCAAGGGAAAAAACAGGAAGATATCTGGAGTCAATGATGGAAAAATGATGCACATCAGGATGGGAAATAAATGATTCAGCGATCTGGCAAAGTCACTTCTGGCTTTGAAAATAAATTACTGAACAATATAAAAGTGGACTTTAAATTTGATGGCATCATCTTTGCAAATTATGTGCAATGAATTGAGGTGATCTATGAGTCGAATGTGGTTAATCATTTCATGGATTGTAAGAGTTCTGGAACCTACTCATTGCATATGTAATGCTTTTCCGGCTAAAATTGTCACGGGGCAGGCAGGCGGGATCAGGAATCTATATTCGACGGTGCTAGAACAGTAGGTACAGGGTGTAGACTAAGACGTAGCTCAAAGAGCTACGATACAGGATCTTCCAACGTGAAGATATACAGAGTTTTCACTTGTAAGCTAGCCTAACAGGGCCTAGCTGATCGCTTATCGGTCACGTGTATCCACACCGTGACAAAAATAGACGATTATTCAATTTTTTATATTCTAATTTATTTATAGATATATGAAATAAAATTAAATATAGTATTATAAAAAGATTCAAAATTACTTAAAGTATTCAAAAAAAATATATCATTTATTTTAAAATATTTTTATAATAGTATTTGTAAAGGATTAAAAATGAAAATTCGAAAATTTTCGAAAAAATCGCTTATTTTGTATAAGAAAAGCATTATAAATTAAAAATTATAAACTTTTTCAACTAAAAGCTTATATAACTTTTCAACAAAAATATTTAAAAATAAACTAGAAATTTTTATATAAAAGAAATGATTCATATTATTTACTAAAAAGTTTTCATAATTTAATATCAATAATTGAATTTATTATAAAGTATTTTAGTTTATATAGAAAAATATGAATTTTTTGCAGGGATTTTGTCACATTTGTTACCGGGGTGCGGTAAGTAGGTTCCAGAACTCTTAATATAATACAGTGGGGGCTAGCTCTTACATGTTGTGCCATTTAGTAAAGCCATCAAGCCATTCTGTCTCGGCAAAAGCTTTTTTTTTTTTTTTTCACGGGGTGGATTTTGAGTTGATAATTACCTAGATATCCATGGATGTGTAGGTAAGGTAGGTATGGTAGGTATATACAACAAAATGTTATTGTATACCTACTAGGTATGTACTGCAGGGAAGGTGGGTAAATAGATGGATGGATGGATGGATGGATTTATTGCTACTGCTATTGTGTATAAAGTTGATTGTAGATTGTAGATTGTTAGTGTTATTAGGGTTGTAAATGGGTTGTAAATGGGTTGTAAATGGGTTGTAAATGGGTTGTAAATGAATTATAAATGGGTTGTAAATGGATTATAAATAGATTATAAATGGGTTGTAAATGGATTATAAATAGATTGTAAATGGGTTATAAATGGATTGTAAATGGGTTATAAATGGGTTATAAATGGGTTGTAAATGGGTAGATTGATGGATTGGTGGATTAGGTGAATAGGTGTTTTTGTGATCTTGATATGTTATTATGTTATTTTTTATAGAGGAATAGAGGAAGAGAGGAAGAGAGGAAGAGAGGAAGAGAGGAAGAGAGGAAGAGAGGAAGAGAGGAAGAGAGGAAGAGAGGAAGACAGAGAGAAAGAGAGAAAACATCACAAAAAAAGAAATCAGAACTCATATTATTATAAATATATTATATACGATGTAAGTCTTACATACATACATATAAAGAAATCTTCAAGATTACAATAGATACCTATCTATCTATCTAGATATAAATAGAGTGGGATGGAATAGAATAAATAATAAGATGTGATTTCGTAGGTGTCAATTGTATGGGTTATTATTTAGATTAGGTAGGTACGTATACATATACATATACATATACATATACATATACATATACATATACATATACATATACATATACATATACATATACATATACATATACATATACATATACATATACATATACATATATATAAGGAGAAGAAGAACCAGAGCCATGAAGTTTTCACGCGCGCTCTTCGCTCTTCGCTCCAGATCTTCAGACAACGAATACTAGAGTTAGAGTCGTATATGGGAAATGGGATGAGATGATGAATCAAGTGGTTATATGGATATTTTACTACGAGATCATATTTGGTATGTGTGGATGTGTGTGAGAGATAGATATACATATTGTGGAGTGAAAATAAAGATGAAGATAAAAGTAATGTGATGTGATGTAATTTGATTCCATTTGATGAATAGGAAGGGGACGGAATGATATTTGAAAGCGAATACTTATTAAGCCGTTTCTGTTGAAGTGGCGAGGAATCGAATTTCTATGTAAGTTCCATCAAATGTAATGTAAAAGGAAAGAAGAATGTAATATATGAGAAGCGGAATATATTTCTGCACGGTAAGAATGGATACAGATGTAGGGATATAAATGAGTGTGTAATATTGCTATGTAAATATGTTGCATATTCAAGGTTTGTATATAGAGAGAGTAAAGTCCATTAGATATCCAAGTACCACAAACAACTCGCTAAATCCTCCTCCCTATTTAGTATTTCCATCCTGGCATTCTGGGTTCAATCTATTTTATTGTTTCATCCATCTCTTTTTCGATTTTGTAAGAAAACAATCGTGTGCAAATGCATGTGGAATGAGTGTCAAGAAATAGAATTGTCGAGATGATCGCACCAGGACTCCACTTAAACGAGGTCGTTCTGTCCTATACCATTTTTCCACTCAGATAAAAGACATTTACTAGGTAGCTGTGTAAACTTCGAGAGAGAAAAATTCGAGATGGACAATCATCTGCATCATAAACCATTCAGTGTTATCAGTATTTCTTAGTAATCGACCATCCGAGCTTTGCGACTTTTGCAGCAACGAGGAAGGTCCCAGCCAGTGCATAGGAGAGTCCAGCAAAAACAATCAACCATGTATAATCGCCTCCGCTAGCCGTCAGGATCTGTCCAGCAATAGGCAATCCAGTCAAGGTGCCAAATGAAACTATCATCCAACATGTAGAATAGTAAGTACCGAATTTTTCAACCCCACACAGCTGACCAACGCATACCGGACTCAGACTGAGATTGCTACCGCTCACAAGTCCAAATAATACAGCGAAAACAAGGGCTATTGCTTGGGAGTCACCAGCTGGTAGCCACAGTGCTAGACATGTTACTACACAGAAAGCGACAGAGATAATGAGTGTATTCACATAGCCAAGGCGATCGGCCACATAGCCTGCTCCCAATCGGCCGACGAATGAACCGGCATTGAGAATGGAAACTATGTAGAAGCCGAATGATGTCGATTGGCCATTTGCGACGACATAGGGTGTGATGTACGTCAGAGGGACAAAAATTCCCCATTCGAGGAGGAAGATCGCTATGGTAAGGAAGACGAAAGACGGCTCCTTGAACGCAGGCCAATACGGAAGAATGCTCTTCATGCTAGGAAGCGGCTTTTTGGGAAGACGGCTAGTGACGAGGAGGTTTGTTAAAATGAGGAGCACAAGAAGGATGAATCCCAATATCCGTGTTGCCCATGCAAAACCGATCGTGGGAAAGAGGCGTTGCAGCATCAGAGGGATTACAACTCCACCAACACTTCCAGCCGTCATTGCAATACCAGTAGCAAAAGCTCTCTTTGCTTGAAAGTATTGAGCGATTGAAGAAATACATGGAGTGTTCACCATGGCTCCACCAATACCATTGAGAACACTATAGACTATGAAAATCTGCCAATATTCTGGGACAATCAGTAAGGTAGAGTAGATATAAAGTTTTGCAGAGATCAGTGTAACTTACCACCGCATAATCCAAGCAACATCATGGACAAAATCAACAAGATGCTTCCACAGAAGATCAAGACTCTGGGGCCATATGCATCGAATATTGGACCAACTGGTGTACCACCCAAGAAGGTCAAGAAAAGTGACACTCCAAAGATCCATCCAACATCACCAGTTGCATAGCCTTGTAATTGATGAGTGGAGAAGTAGTCAAGCAAGATACCACTGCAGTTGAGGATTCCAAAGACTGCAAATGAGCCACAGAACGATCCTACAACCACAGACCAAGCCTTCAAACCACCGTCGGGAAAGTTATCCTTTTCATCATCTGAAATTGAAGTTCCATCACATGGTTGTTCGGAACCATTCTGAACAACGCCCTTTTCAAGATTCTCGTTGAAAGTGATAGGGTTTTCTGCGTTGTTGTCGTTGTTGGTGTCTAGACCCTCCGATTTAGGTGAAATCGAGTTTACCCCAGATTTTTCGAAATTTTTATTTTGAGAACAATCGTTTACACTAGGTGTAAAGACGCCTGGGTTTTTTAAGCAGCTGTCCTCTGCATCGTTTTTCTCTCCCGGTGTCATATGCTACACCTTATGGTGAAATCTTATAACAGTAAGGATACCAGAATCGACTTGATGATATAAAGATGTATGTAATTGACAACTCGAGAAGAGCGGTGCACTGTGGAAAAAGGTGTGAGAAAGTGGAGAAATACTTAGACTTTTCAAGCTTTCCTATTCGAGAATCGGTCAATTCCGATGCCAAGGGGATAGTTTAGCCTCCGACATAGGTAAACATTCCACGTGATGCGGAATGAATATTGAGAAGATCAATGTGTTGGAAAACACATAACAAGGCATGATATTCGCTTTGAGTGGGACTGGAGGAAGGAAACAGATGTTAGAAGTATTGAAAAGTAAAAGCATGTTCGTGATGATCAGATGAAAATGCAAATGTAGGAGTTCGTAACTAAGACACCCGTGGACTCCTCGACAATTCCATCATGCTTGTTCTGAATTGCACTAACCTCAACCTTAGGAGACCTGATCAGGAATTGAGACCGTTGCTCGCGTTGTTGTTAGTCATTGCGATGGAAATCGTTACCAGCCAACCTTTATAAGTTCACCTCGCAACATTGCTCATCCAACTTCCTTTCTACACCATCGAGTCTGCATTTTTTGGCTGATTGCCAAATAAGGGCATGACCGTGGATATCGGAAAGAAGTCATAACACGTGATGTAGTATTCACGTGATACCTCTGAAAACTTGTTCAGGTGCAGAATATATGATGAGCGAGCGAGCTGTAGTTCTATCGAAGAACTACAGAATCATGAATCTATTGCCGTTGTGTCGTGTGGTGAAGAGGCATGTAGAGTCAAAAGTTCCATAAGTACAAGAACACAAGTGCTTGTTTACTTATCTTGTAGCAGAAGTTCTGTATCATAAGCATCACCAGCACCCAAATGATGAGATGGCCTTCCATAACTGCAATAGCATGCGTGTATGGTATGTAACACCTAGATTGTCGCGTCGTCTTCCAGTATCAAATGCATTTAGTCACCGACGTGATAAGGTGTATTTGACTGAATGAAGGGGACTCGGACCTATCATATGGATGTTATATAGTCTAACGAAAAGTTCCTTGGCTTTCGGGATTAACGGCGGGGGAACGGAATGCAAGGTAAAGCAATGACCACAGTGCATAATTTGTATTTCGGCCGAAATGTATTGATAATATCGGCGAGCGTCCAAGTTTCGTCAACGCAAAGTCTAACAACTGCCGTCGATTCACGCAGATAAGTTAACTCCACCTGGGCAGGTCAAATTATGGGGCTTGTTTGTATGCCACGGCCGGTGTTAAGGACTTAAAGCTTTGCTAGTGAGTATGAATGCGGAGAATGATTAGGAATGCGTCCTTTCAAGAATGAGATCATAGCATTGTGACCAGATATAAAATGTCTTCATTCACCCTCTCAGTCGATTCCAAAACCTCTGAGATAAAACACTTGCACATTTTCTTACCCTCAATTCAAACCGTCTCTTTTCACACAAACATATTTTACTAAACACACAAAATGGCTTTCGCTTCACCCCCGGCCCCAAAGACCGCTCTTGGTCACTATAGAATGCTTTCACCCACAGCATCAGTCAGAGTGAGCCCTTTATGCTTGGGAGCAATGAACTTTGGAAATGCCTGTGAGTATACTTCATAACGGCTCATTTAGACAGTTATTAACACTATAAAGGGGAGAGCTTCATGGGAGCTTGCGATCAAAAACAAACCGAGGAGATATTAGACTTCTTCTATGAATCAGGTGGAAACTTCATTGATACCGCCAACAATTATCAGGCCGAAGAATCCGAGAAATGGATTGGTGAATGGGCTGAAAAGCGTGGAATTCGAGACCAGCTTGTCATCGCCACAAAGTTTACAACGTGTTACCGAGCTGGACACGGCGACAAAGAAATTTTGATCAATACTACCGGAAACGGAACGAAATCTCTCCATTTATCTCTTGAAGCAAGCTTAAAGAAGCTGAGAACATCTTACATCGACCTTCTGTATGTTCATTGGTGGGACTTCACTTGCTCGATTCCAGAACTCATGCAATCATTGAACGCATTGGTCTTGTCCGGAAAAGTTCTGTACCTTGGGATTTCAGATACACCAGCCTGGGTTGTATCGAAATGCAACCAATATGCTCGTGATCATGGGTTCCGTCAATTCTCAGTGTATCAAGGACGCTGGTCTGCCGAGAACCGTGATTTCGAGCGTGACATTATCGATATGGCTGCCGATGAAGGCATGGGGCTAGCTCCTTGGGGTGCATTGGGAGGTGGCCACTTCAAAAGCGACGAGCAACGCAAATCCGATGAAGGACGAAAGCTGTGGGAACCAACCGAGGCTGCCATCAAGATATCTAAGGTTCTGGAGAAGATTGCCAACGAGAAGAATACTATAATCACTAGTGTAGCATTGGCATATGTGCTGAAGAAGGCGAAATACGTATTCCCAATTGTTGGTGGAAGAAAGATCGAGCATCTGAAGGGAAACATTGAAGCTTTATCGTTGGAGTTGAGTGATGATGATGTCAAACAAATTGAGGAGTCAAACGCGTTTGACATCGGATTCCCTCTCAATTTCTTAGGAGGTCCAAACGGGGTGAAGAGTCCAGGTGATGTATGGCTGATGAAATCAGCTGGTATAACTGATCATGTTCAACCATCTAAGCCTCTTTCACCACATAAGCAATAAATGGCCGAGAGAAGAGTAGATGGAATTTGGATACGGATATAAAGGGATGAATAAGTAGAAACAATCTCAATTTGAATTCTGAAAGGTTCGAGACTCAATGAATAGTCGGTTTTTAATTCCTTGCTGTATAATCTACCACTGTGCATTTTTCAATTCTCAACCATTTTATTGATGTTAGATATCGATTCAAAAAGTATTCATTCTATTCGTAGAAGAAAAAACAGGCGGAATTCGATTATTTCTAAGATATTCTTTACAATTCAATTATTTCCTTTCAATATTATAAAAAATAAAATTTCGAAATATTTTTTGGATAATAAAAAGCTAATATTTCTTTTAATTTCTTTAAATTTATATAAATTATTTATAAATTATTTTTTATTTAATTAAATTAGAAGATTTCAATAAAAAATTGAATTGTCAAATTCCGCCTGTTTTTTCTCCTACAAATAGTCATTGTATCTCAAAAGTGTGCCACAACTAGCCGGAGCCACGTGACGAGATCTCTCTCGCCGTACCTGAGAAAAGCAGCCCCTGCTAGCTACATACGGTAAGTGGGGAACATTGCTGTACCTTTCTACTAGCCTCGCTAGCTTAGATCATGATCCCGAAATTATGTTACCCCGGACTTTCTCACCATAATTTCCAAGGTTTCCCAAGGCTGAAAAGAATTGTTCATTTGTTAAAGCATTGTCGACATAATCAACATTAAAATCTTTCAAATCACCTCGGTCTTTGGTATTTCAATAACGAAAAGTTGTTTTTACAAATTCATCATCTCAAAGGAATAACGCACACAATCTTTTAAATCGAGTTTCTGTAGCTTCAATGCCGATCAGGAGTATTTTACAACAATCAAAGATCCTCAGCCTTGAGTTGAAATAGGAGACTCAATTCAATACAAACGCGACTCGATCTAAGAACAAAACCCGCAACAAATAGTATTACAACAACATCCAATCATACTCTGATACATTCGATCTAAAAATGGATCAAATTTTCAAAATCAAAGATGCCGTCGTCAATTACCTTTCTCCTGTTGCGAAACGTCGTAGAACAATGGGGGGACCTCAGACACCAGGTTACATCGAATTTGACGGCGAACACCAATTTCTCTCCGAACCACAAAATAATAGGAGGTCTCTCAATTTCGCATATGATCGCATGAATCAAAACTATATTTCGAAAGAAGATAGAACGACACCCACAAGAAATCCCCTCAAACGTCCTCGCGAAAACGATGAAATTGAAGAACCTGTATTTTCAGGAGACGACACCTCACCAAAGCAAGCTTCTTCGCACAACGTCACTGAGAGTGGTGAAGAATCGGAGACTCCAGATTACATGGATGAAGACGAAGATGAAGAAGAGGAAGAGGATCTAATTTCTGCCCAGCAGAAAGTAGATGAATATCTTGCAAAGCAGGCTGCGGAATTTGCTATGGCAAAAGAGACGGTAGAAAGAGCTCGAGCGGATGGCGAATGGTCCCAGGAAGAACTTTTTCTATTGGAAAGACTTCAATACATGGGCCATGAAGGACTTTTGCCGCACTGGGCAAAGGAGCGGAATTTTCGGACGGTCCCTGAGGCTATGTTTTGCCTCGATGATAATGCCCTTTTGGGTGAGAGTAGCAAATGTAAGTTTTATGTAAATAAAAAAATTTGAATCGCTCCAGACTAATCGTTCCATAGCTATCCAAATGTTAGAATTCCTTGTTCACTACCTACCTCGTCGCGTACATGATAGATACTATGGTGGATCTGGCCCACCTGAAGCGCAGATGCGGCAATGGATTGGCAAATACGTCGAATGGACCGAAAGAGATGGCGGTTACTATAAGAAAAAGTTTATTCCAGTTCTGTGCCTCGTTGAAGGTAGATGGCGCGCGCCCGCTGCGGAAACAACCAAACGCCTTAAAGATCAAATGAATTTTCATGCTGAATCATGGCGTCGAACGCTACTACGTCCTTCACCTATTGTCAATGAGTTTGGTGAGACAGAAATTTACTTTCGACGTCCTCCTCTTATTTATGGAATTCTTTACATACAAGCCAAAGCTCTTTTCGTTACACTCGACTCCTCGGATCCACAAGCAAAGATTAGAGATATTCACGTTTGTGATTTCTTAGACACAAGCAAGCATTTCTGGCATGCTATATCTGTTGCTATAGTGGCCAAAATTGCGCAAAAGTACATGATGTCAATTGTTGATACATTGGAGGATGATGATCCGCCGGAACCAGATTCGTGTAGCGAGAATGAATTAGAATCCGCACGTGCGAGGGAAAAGAGATTGCAGAAAGAAGCAAAGATGTTGGAGCGAGAAAAAGAGCGTCAACGCCAGGAAGACCTTTCGAGACTTGAGCAACAAATGAATGAAATCAAGATGGAAGAAGAGGAAGATAATGTTATGGAGTCCATCGAGGAGTATGAGAGAGTGGAGATTGTTGAGGGCGAAGAAGAAGAGCAGGAAGACTTTGAGGACGATCGACCATCAATGTCGGAATATGACGAGGAAGAAGAGGAAGAAATGGAGGTTGAGGTTGATGAGGACGAAGACGAAAACGAAAACGAAAATGGTGAGCAAAGTGCGGATGAAGAATTAATAAGCGACGAGGATATCGAGGATGCTGAAGATGACGTCGAAGAAGAAGATGAGCCAGACGACAGCAATGTTAGCAACGAAAGTGATAACGAAAATGTTGAAGTCGTCAATCATTACGGAACTGGACGTACCCCTAGATCAGCAAGCTCTGATGAATTGTAGCAACGCGATCGCCCTGTATTGTTTGAAAAGTACAAACATATTACTTTTTTGTATGATTGTTTTGTTGGATTTAAGGTTCCTACTTGAATTTTTCTTTCCTTCAAAGGTTTCTCGCGCGCCTTAACACGGAGCAGTCACGCCACTGTAGGGTCGATTCAACCAAGACGTACTGAGAATGCACTCGAGCAAACTGGCTTTGAAGAGATCATTGTAAGGCATCTATCAAATGCTCTCTGATATTGGTACATTATGGAATACATGGGAAGGATAATACTAGGCAAGGGATTGGGTGGAGGGAGGAATCATTATGGATTACAATTTTTTAATTTTTCCTCTAGCTGTTTTCCTGTCATGAAATACCCCTTTTTAGTTTACCGCAATAATGATAATAAGTAGAAATAGTTAAAACTATATGAGTTTTTTGAACATGTATACAATGATACACACAAGATTGACTGAGTTTATGAATTGTCTGGTGAGTTCTTTAGGCCTCATGGCCTATCCGGACATTGATACATTTTTTGCGTCAGATACACATCAAGATCTGAAGAAGTATATGGTAGGTTTATGTATATCTTCCGACATGAAAACATGAAAACCTGTGGAGTGCAAGTATATTCGTCGTTCATTCGAACCTCTCATAACATCTGCCACTTCCGCTATGCAATAATTTTGGTATCCGCAATCCCAATGCCATCGAAACCTCCTCTTTCTCCAATCCCCAAAACCAAAAGTCCACCATGAAAGTTTCCCTTATGCTCGCTCAAATCTCAATTCTTCAAAAGCCCCCTCCTCCTCGAATTCTCCTCTTCTCCCCAACCAATCTAATGATCCTCCAACGCTCGTGCCTCCAGCGCCGCAACCCCCTGTTCCAACTCCCTTACCCTCGATCCCACACGTCGTTTAATTTCCTCCCCATATTCCCCCTCAATCGCAGAGGTATACATATCTTTTAATTTCTGCAACTCTTCTACTGCGGCTGCGCGGTCGGCTTCGGCGTAAACGGAATGTTTGTCGGTTTCTTCGCTTGCTATCTATTCACTCGAAAGAAAAGGGAGAATTAGTCTTGGAATTCTTGAATGAGAGGAGCTGGGAGGAGAATGGAGGGAATGAGACATACCTCGAATTCATCCCGCGCAACTCCATACTGTTCGGTCAAATCTTCGATTATTGCATCTGCAGGTGTCGCAGTCGCATAGTCTCTTCTTCCGGACTTCAAGCTATTCGGGGGAGAAGAATTGCATAATGATATACGCTGTGGAAATTGTGCAGCAGTCGATTTTCTAACAGAAGTTCGTGTGCAGAACCCCGCTAAGAGCGTTCGTTGCGTATGCTTACTGAAAGGCGTGCGTAGCGGAGAAATAGGAGGGGTTTTGCGGATGAGAGTGCGTGGTAGGCACTTTAAGATGAGGGATGACATTTTTGTGGTGGTGGTTGGAGCTAGGGAGTGAGGGGGGGTTGGGTAGGTGTGTTTACTGTTTGTGCAGGATTGGGGATTGGGGAGATGGAGATGGAGGTTAGAAAGCTTAAATTTGGTTAGGGAGCTCGGACCTGATGACGTTGGGTTTAGCAGTACAAACGTACGCGATGAAGGAATTGTTCTCATATGCTATTGATACGGAGTATCTAAATAAATGTGAGAAAGCTGTCTATATTATAATATACTGTTGAAGTAGAACTATATGAGATATACAATCGTATTCAACATATTGATCTCTACTACATGCTTTTCATGAATGAATTTTAATCTGACAACTGCATACTTTCAATTTCTCAATTCAAGTTGAACAATTAGACAATTTCAATCTCTTAATGGGATTTGAACAACTAAATACTTTTATTCCCATCCAGATTTGATATTCAAATGCCTCAGCTTTCTTGACAAGAATCTAATTGATATGTGATTTATTTTATTCATCTGGAGCTTTGTAATATTAGCTCCCCAGGCAAGTGTAGATCTTCTTTCGCTAATTAGCGAGCTAGTTTTAGTTTTTGGTGATCTAATGATGATCTCGTTGATCAAAGAGTCTAACCCCTTGGTAGTCGGTTATTTCTTGTCTCTGACGATGACAGATTTGAGAGTGGGAAATGTAGGATGTGTGATGCGTGATTTAGTACGCTATGAGAATGGGATTACTTTGCTCGAATTTGCTTTTTGGCTCTTGGAATTATACTGTCCTCGGGTTAGTTTTTGAAATGGTTGTTGAAACATCTCACATATGCGAGGAAAAATAGTCACTCGGATTCAAGATTCGATCGTCGGTGCACAAGCAAATAGAAAGATGTATAATTAAGGAGAGTACTGTTGTCTATATTTTCTAAGTGTCTATATAAGAATCATAAATTGTCCACCTCAAGAGAGACGGCTCATAAATCGGAAAGAGTGGTGTTAATAGGCGAGAAGAAAAGAGGCCAATTAACATATAAAATATTCAAAGTGTCTGCTGCACACTCTGTTACAAGAATTGAAAATAAAAAGGTCGGGCTTTTGTCTACCACAAGTCTAAATCTAGAAATAGAAGATGCAAAAAGAGTGAGCTTCGCTGACCATGTCCGAGTTGCCGCCCCATGGCGATCTCTGGACAAAACAGAATTGGAAATGTATAATAAGGAAACGACTTTTGGGAGTGGAATTTTTCGAGCGATCGAAATATAATGATGTCTTTCTTTGTGAAGGATGGAAAATACGAGCGTAATTAAGATTAAACTTCATCAATCATTATTCATACATCTATTTGCAAAGAGATTGGGTCAGTAATCACTCTAGATTATCAAAGTCATGATAAATAATTGATCGAACATACCTCTTCATAAAACATCAATCTTACAATTAGAATAAAGATCTGAACTTAACACTATTAAGTCTTCTCTTTGACTTTGGCTTGTGCTCGGGGACGTTAATGACGTCTCCTGGTTTGATCTGTTCAAAATTCTGAATATGTGGATTGGCATGCTTGAGATCTTTGAGGGTGACTTCAAATTTATGCGCCAAATCAAACAAGGTATCTTTTGGTTTAACAGTGTAAGTTTTGTGGTTGTCTCCACCGGTACTGGGGATTTTCACAGTCTCGCCAGGCCAGAGTGAGTTGACCATAACGATGTTTGGATTGGCGGCTTTCAAAGTGTCAAGAGTGATACCGTTGGCATTGGCGATATCGGTGAGTGTATCTCCTGGTTTAACGACGTGTGTATGATCTTTACCGTGGGCAGCATTACTTGGTGGGATGTTGATGGTTTGACCTGGAGCAATGGAATTGTAGTCATGAATACCTGGATTGGCGGCTTCCAAGGCTTGGAGTGAAACTTTGTTTGCAGTGGCCAATGAACTGAGAGTATCTCCTGGTTTCACAATAACGGTAGCGCCATTAGAGGGGAGCTTGATTATTTGTCCAGGTTGAATCAATTCAAAGTTAGAAATTTCTGGATTTGTGGCTTTGAGTTCAGCCAATGAAATCCCTAATCCTTTGGATATGCTGTACAAACTATCTCCTTTTTTGACAGTATATGTACTTGGTGAGGGTAGGGTATGAGGTTTAAGGTTGATAACCTGTCCAGGTTGTAGTAAATCTGGGTTTGTGATTTGTGGATTCAAAGCCTCGAGAGTAGCCAACGGGATTCCATTATCTTTAGCAACACTGAAAAGAACATCACCTGGTTTTACAGTGTATGTAGATGGTACGGCGGAGTTAGTTTTGGAAGTGGCGGGGGCCGATATCGAAGTGGTGAACGAGCTTTGGTGTGGAGTAACGGAGGACTTGGTGCATGAATCTCCATGGATGTGAGGGATACAAGGACCATATTGAGGAGGTGAACTTTCGTGGGTAGATAAAACGGGTGGAACTTCGTGGATGGAAGAAGTGGGAGGTTTCGATACAATTGACGGAGTAGAAGAAAGACTATGTGTGGACTCGGTACATGAGCCTCCATGGATGTGAGGGATACATGAGCCTTGATGGGTGGATGAACTTTCATGTGTAGAGACAGGTGGGACTTCATGAACAGAAGATATTGAAGGTTTGGGTAAAGTTGATGGAGTAGGAGATACATCATGAATAGGCTTGGTGCATGAGCCTCCATGGATATGTGGGATGCATGAAATTTCATGGGTAGATGAAGCAGGCGAGGCTTCATGGATAGAAGAGGTGGAATGCTTGGATAAAGTCGAAGTAATTTGAATCGATTGGGTGCATGAACCTCCATGGATGTCAGGGATACATGAAGGTTGATGGGTAGACCAGACAGGTGAGACTTCATGGACAGAAGGGGTTGAAGGTTTGGATAAAGTCGAAGTAATTTGAATCGATTGAGTGCACGAACCTCCATGGATATGTGGAATACATGAACTACTATAGTCAGATGGAGTGGGTGGTACTTCGTGGCTAGTGGAGGTGGAAGGCATAGGTGTAGTTGATGGAGCAGAAGAAATTTCATGAACAGATTCGGTACATGAGCCTCCATGAATATGTGGAATACATGAACTACCATGGGTAGATGGTATGGGTGAAATCCCAGGTATAGAAGAAGTGGAAGGTCCAGAGGAGGTTAATAGAGTGGAAGTAACGGTAACAATTGACGGGCTGCATGAACCTCCATGGACAGATGATATACATGGACTATTATGAGTAGATGGAACAGGTATCTCGTGGGTTGAAGACGAGGAAGGTATAGATAAAGTTGATTCAGCGGAAGAAATCTTATGTGTTGAAGACATGCTGTGCGTCAAAGGAATATCGTGTGTCGAATGGATGTCGTGCGTTGAAGTATGTGTGGCAGGGTTACCATTTGTGGAGGATACGCTATGTGTGGAATCATGCGTCGAAGAGATATTGTGTATAGAAGGGGTAATGTGTGTGGAAGAGGCACTGTGTGTTTTCGAAGGGGTATCATGTGTAGAAAAGACACTATGGGTGGAAGAATGTTTCGAAGAAGCACCATAGGTCGAATGGATATCATACTCCGAAGAGGCAATGTGTGTTGAAGATACACTATGTGTGGAAGTATGATTGAAAGGGACATGGTGTGTTTTCCATGGGGCATCATGTGTGGAAGATGCACTATACGTCGAAGAGGTACTGTACGTGGAATGGACATCATGCTCCGAAGAAGAGGCAACGTGTGTGGAGGATATACCATGTGTAGAAGTATTATTGGAAGGGATCTTGTGCGTCGAATGGGTATTGTGCTTAGAGGAGGTACTGTGTGTTGGATATACACTGTGCATCCAAGGAGTACTATATGCGGAAGAGGCACTGTGTGTTTTCGAAGGGATGTTATGTGTAGAAGAGACACTATGTGTGGAAACGATACTGTGGGTGGAAGTATGTGTGGAAGAGGCATTGTACGTCGAATGGACATTATGCTCTGAAGAGGCAATATACGTCGAATGGATATCATGCTTTGAAGAGGCAATGTATGTGGAAGATATACCATGTGTGGAAGCATGATTGGAAGGGATATGCGTCGAATGGATATCATGCTTGGAGGAGGTACTGTGCGTCGGATGGACACTATGCATCCAAGGAGTACTATGTGTGGAAGAGGCACTATGCGTCCAAGAGGCACTATGCGTCCAAGAGGCACTGTGTGCGGAAGAATGTGTGGAGGATATGCTATCTGCAGAAGACACACTGTGTATTGTTGAATGAATACCATGTTCTGAAGTTACACTGTGTGTCATCGAAGAGATAACATCCGTTGAAGAGATACCATGTGTTGAAGTATTATTATGTGCCAAGGAGGTGTATGGACCTCCATGAATGAATGGGACACATGGACCTCCGTGACTAGCTATACACGGGCCGCTATGGGTCGATGAAGTAGGTGGAAATTCATGAATAGGTGAGAGTATTGGAGTATGAGTAATTCTATTAGAAGAGCTGGATGAGGTTGGAGAAGCTCCACCAAGAGAAGTGGATAGCGTAGAAGGAATTCCAGCTCCATATCCTGAAAGACTAGATGCACTGATTGAACCAGAAGAGGGCACAGTGGTAGCTGCTGATCCTGGGAATGATGACACGGATGACGGAGCAGTTGAGGCAGATACTGGGAAAGTATGTGTGTTTGAATAACTTGCACCAGTAGAGCTGGATAGAGTTTCACCTGATTTGAAGGTATTACCACTGGTAGACGATGAGGTAGCAGCTGAAGTTACCGACACACTTTGATATCCTCGAGTTACAGATGATTGTTCAACAACACTTGATGGGACATCGGTAGTATAGTGATAGAACGATTGTGTGGACGGAACATGGGTAGTCCAGTGGCTGTGTGATTCCACAATACTTGATGTGACATGGGTAGTCTGGTGATCGATTGATTGTTTTGTTGATGGAATGTTGGTGGTCTGGTGGCTTTGTGATTGTGTCGTTGTTGGGACATCAGAAGAGACTTCAAGTGTAGAAGAATCAGATAGAACAGACGAGCTTTCACTCGATAGGGTAGAAGACGCTCCAATTGCAGTTGTAGTATCAGTCCATTTAGATTTTGAAGAATTAAAGGATGGAGTAGAATACATTGGAATCGATGAGAAGGTTGAGACATGAGGGATTTTGGAGACCGAAGAGTCCGATGAAGTAGAAGAAATTCCAGCTGCGACTGTGCTATCGGTTTCTGTTGATTTGGCTGAAGCACTTGGATATGATTCGGAAGTAATTGATCCATATTGATAGGCTTCATGGGATGCTGAAATACTTGGTGAAGAGGCAGTTTTAGATTTCTCCTTCTCAGTTTCACTTGTAGTCTTGCTGGATGATGAGGAGTATGTATAAGGAGCCCATCCATTTGTCTTTGTGTATCCGACAAATTCAGTACTGCTTTGACTAGATAAAGTAATTGAGGAAATCGTAGAAGATTTTGAGGCATGTGTGGTAACATTATTTGGTACGGACCCCCCGGTTTCGGTAGGGCCATAATTAATAATACTTGACTTTGAAGTTTGTGGCTTGACATAAATTGGGATGGAACTGGTTTGAGAAGTCATGAGACTTGATGACCATGCTGATACAGAGTCGACTGGCATTGACACACTGGTACCCGGGGTAGTGAATTCAGGAGTAGAAGGACCAGAAGTGGAAGGACTATAAGTAGAGGGAACGTGAGTAGAGGAATCATGAGTAGAGGAATCATGAGTAGAGGAATCATGAGTAGAGGAATCATGAGTAGAGGAATCATGAGTAGAGGAATCATGAGTAGAGGAATCATGAGTGGAGGAATCATGAGCGGAAGAGGCGGCTGGCACCCAGCTGGATAATGGAGAAGAGGCCAGGGTTGTGTGCGGTGATTCTTCGCTGGATGGGTGAATGTAACCTGGGTTAGTAATCGATGACTTTATAGTCGAAGAAAGTCCTATAGCAATATCAGATGAATGAGTAGAAGTTGGGATAGGGATTGAGGTTATGGCAGAAGAAACCCTTGGTGTGCTGGAAATTTCAATTGATGAGTATTTTGGAATAGTATTTGAGGGTAAGTCCGAAGTCACAGAATGAGGAGTGGGGGTTTTAACAGGAATATGACTGGATGAATGAACAGAAGATTCCTCTGGTGTCATCTTGGATGGCAAGCTCGAATTCGATGAATTGGTATGAACAGCGGAAGTTAAGGCTGATGGATGAACCGATGGCTCACTGGAATGAACTGATAGTCCACTGGTATGAACCGAAGGTGCACCATAATGAAGAAGCACAGAGCTTGATGGAGAAACCGATGGCTCACTGGAATGAACTGATAGTCCACTGGTATGAACCGAAGGTGCACCATAATGAAGAAGCACAGAGCTTGATGGAGAAACCGATGTTTCACTGGAATGATCTGAAGCTATACTAGAATGGAAAGAGTTCGAGCTTGATGGATAAACCGGCTGTTTACTAGAGTGAACTGAAGCAACACTAGTGGTTGATGGATGTACCGATTTTTCACTAGAATGGACAGAAGCCACACTGGAATGATGAGAAGCCGCGCTTGATGAGTGAACCGGCTGTCCACTGGAATGATAAGCAGCCGTGTTTGATGGATGGACCGATTGTTCACTAGAATGGACAGAAGCCACACTGGAATGATGAGAAGCCGTGCTTGATGAATGAACCGGCTGTCCACTGGAATGATAAGCAGCCGTGTTTGATGGGTGAACTGGATGTTCACTGGAATGAACTGAAGCAACACTCGAATGGGGGAAAGCCGTGCTTGATGGGTGAACTGGATGTTCACTGGAACGAACTGAATATATACTAGAATGAGCAGCAGTCATACTAGAATGCAAAGAGGCTGAGTTCCATGGATAAACCGATAGTCCACTGGAATGAACCGAAGATATACTAGAATGAGCGAAAGTCATACTAGAATGTGAAGCAGAAGCTAAGCTTGATGGATGAATCGATGGTCCAGAAGAATGAGAAGCAGATTTTAGGCTGGATGAATGCACCGAGGCTAAACTGGAATGAATTGAAGATACAATAGAATGTGAAGCGGAAGTTGAGCTGGATGAATGTATCGAAGCCACACTAGAATGAATAGTAGAAGCTTGATTGGATGAATGCGTAGAAACTGTGCTAGAGTGCAAAACGGAAGTAAAGCTGGATTTATGCGCGGAAGATACACTGGAATGAAAAGAGGCCAAGCTGGATACATGAGCCGAATTTACACTAGAATGGACAGCAGAGGTTTTTTGAGATGAATGCGCAGAATCCGTATTAGGATGAAGAGAGGAAGTCGAGGTAGATTGAGGTACCGGAGATGCACCGTAATGGATAACGGAAGTTGTACTATGGACGATATGAGACGAATGGCTCGAAGCGAGATTGGTATGATGAGCCGAGGCCACATTAGACGGATGCACCGAATGAACACTGGAACTTGAGGCCGAGTGGGACGAGTGGGATGAGTGGGGAGCTGAGTGTTCGGAAGCTACACTGGTATGACTAGAAGTCGCAATAGAACCCGCATGAGATGAGTGTTCTGAGGCTATGCTGGAATGACTAGAAGTTGTAACAGAGTCTGTATGAGATGAGTGAATCGAAGCTACACCAGAATGGTGAGAAGTTGCAATGGACTCTGCATAGGACGAGTGACTCGAAGCCAAGGACGTGTGAACCGGAAATAAACCAGAATGACTTGCAGTTGCGACATGGCTCGCATCAGAGTGATGACTCGAAGTTAAGGTGGAGTGTTTGGAAACTAAGGATGTATGGAACGAAGCTACGCTGGTATGGCTAGAAGTTGCAACAGATTCCGCATGAGATGAGTGGATCGAAGCTACACCAGAATGGTGAGAAGTCGCAATGGATTTTGCATAGGACGAGTGACTCGAAGCCAAGGACGTGTGAGCCGGTAATAAACCAGAATGACTAGGAGGTGAAACATGGCTCGCATCAGAGTGATGACTCGAAGTTGAGGTTGAGTGACTGGAACTCAAAGGTGTATGGATCGGAGCGACGTTGGAATAACCAACAGTATGTTTACTAGTAATAGCATCCGAGTGATGACTTGAAGCTAAGTTGGAAAAGTGACTCGAAAGTATAGTCTTGTGAACCGGAGTGACACTGGAGTGACCAATGGAGTTCTTTTTAGTAGTAGCATCCGAGTGATGACTCGAATATTTAGACGTCTGAGTCGGAGCTTTACTAGAATGGCTAGCAGAACTTATACTGTGGATTGTGTTGAAGTGATGACTTGAGGTTAAACTCGAATGTCTCGATGGCAAGGGCGTGTAAACTGGAGCTTTACTGGAATGATCGGCAGAACTTGAACTAGGGATCGCATGAAAATGATTGCTGGAAGCCAGTGACGTGTGAACTGAAGCTTTGCTAGAATGAGCAGCAGAACTTTTGCTGTGGATCGTATTGGAGTGATGAGTCAAGGAAGTTTGAACCGAATCTTTACTAGAATGGCCAGCAGAACTTATGATGTGAGCGGTCTTGGATGAGTGAATTGAAGCCAAGTTAGACAGATGAGTTGAAGCCAAGGAAGAGTGCATGGAAATCACGTCGGATGAATGAATCGATGGTGAGCTTGATGAATGACTTGACACGGTAGCTTCGCCGGAATGGTGAGTCGAGCTTGCAATTGAGGAAATCTTCGATGAGTGACTAGAAGCTAAGGAGGAGTGAATCGAAGCTACACCGGAATGACCAGTAGAAGTTTCAACAGGAGTGACATTTGATAGATGAGTCGATGCCTCGTGGGACGAGTGACTCGAAGCCAATGACGAATGAACTGACGGTAATTTTGATGAATGAGCAGTAGCTTCACTAGAATGAGGAGTTGAACTTTTGGCTGAAACAACATTGGATGAATGGGTTGAAGCTAAGTATGGGTGAATCAACGGTAAGCTGGATGAATGGCTCGAAACAGCAGCTACACTGGAATGGGCACTCGAACTTGTGGGGGCAATCTTCGATGAGTGAACTGGAACAGAAATCACACTCGAATGGAAAGCGGAAGTTTCACCAGGGCTTTCATGGGACCAATGAATGGAACCTGAGCCAGGTGTATGAGTTGAAGGTGGGTTGGATGAGTGGGTCGAAACTGATTTGCCTGTGGTGATTGAAGAAGGATGATAAATGGATGGTTTTTCGAAGTGTGCACTGGCAGTGGAAGCAAGTCCAGCAGCCGCGATGACGGCAATGCCTTTGCAACGCATCTTGATCGATGCTTGTAATTAGGAGAGAGTAGGCCAGATGAGTTTCGAATCTTTTGTGGTCTGGATTGTAAGGAAGTAGAAAAGAATAAAAGCTTGAAATTAAGAGGGATAGACTTATATGAGAAAGAATTCCACTGGTGATCAAATTTGATTTACTAGTAACTCTCCAATCAACCATTTTCTTGATTTCCTTTGACTATGACACGCTATACGTCAATTATAAGATACCAAGAAGAATTTGAGAGACTAATATGTGGTTTGGTCTGTTAACCTTTGGTGGATCTAGATATCAAGGTTGTTATTTACTATACATGAGGAAACATAAGCTCAAAAGCATAGCAGCCCCCTCGAATCCATAGTCCCAATATTCTGTAGTGTCATCCAATTTCTTATCATAATTTCGGTATTCTGAGAATATTCCTATCAATTATGATTTCAAATGGATTCGACAATTGTACCAATTCCGATATCTGACATGACTTCAATGTCTGACTTCAGTAACTGAAATAGTCTCAATTTTGAAGGAACCTCAATAAATAAATAAGTTTCAATGTTCAAAAGCGTTTGAATGCTCCAAAGCTTTTGACTGTTGAACTGTAGTTCGCACTACCGAACACTCTGCTTCAACTTGTATCAATAATTTGGGTGATCGAATACAAACCCATGTTTCTAGAAAGCAAAAGAGGGGAAATAATCGGAAATTGCATTGTGATTTAAGGAAATAGATAGTGTCATAGCATTCACACTATAGCTCAAAGAATAGATAGTGATGATGAAATCCTAGCCATTGGTATATTTTAGACTTGAGCGTACGGAAAGGAAAGTTTTGGCAGGATACTAAGACTGGATGATGATTCATAGAAAGTACTGTAGAATGTAATGGAAAGGAAGAGAAATCGATCTATGGAACCATCCGACAGTGTTTACTATTTATTCTTTTCGTTCACCGGTTGTCTAGATTCCAAAACATCGCTCAAGTTGATATTGTGGGGGTTTGGATATCAAGAAAGGGTAAACTATATACCAGTCCCGAAATGGAAAACCGTTAGGAAATAAACTTTGTTCGAGTACCGACGTCTACTTGGTACCTGAAGCTTTGTTTGAATTGGTATTAAAACATTTGATAGTAGTATACCATTGGTTCATCTAATCAACAGATCAAAACTAAAGTCTTGGAACAATATCCTGTTATGAATATATGTATATATATATACTACTTACTAGTGAGTCGCTGATCTATCCATCAAACCAGGCTATTACCAACCATCTCGTCATGATCAACATCCAAAATACCTCTTTTCGATCCACCTCTCCTCGTAGTCCTGAATTATCGTGCACACCACAACTTTAACCTCAGGGAAGACCTTTGTAAGTCGGTTTAATCCCATTTTCCCTGCAGTGTAAGTCACAAATACAATCTTCTCGGGTGGTACTCCATGATCGACGAGAATTTGGACAGACATAAGTGCAGCTCCCCCACTTGACATTTGTGGATCAAGTAACAAGACACTATCATGTTTGTTGATATTGTCCGGTAAACTTAAGAAATGTAATTCTGGTTCACCCGTTCGGATGTTCGATTGGATCAGTAGCCTTCCAGTCTTGCAATCCGGGATGACCCGCTTTAAGCCAGTTTCCAGAGCTCCTCCGGCCCGAAGGACAACAACTGCACTAACTTCGCCCGTAGCTATTAAACCATGGTACTTGTTACCGATCGGCGTCTCAACAGTCTTTTCTGTGAAGAATATATTGTTCATAGCACTACAACTTGTTAGGAATGAGACCAAAAAATCAATACTTTGAAACAATACAATGATAACGTACTGTTCAACGAGTAAAGTAGCAATCCGGTCAAAGTAGAAAACAAAATCTTCTGCTGGAGTTCCTATATCTTGGATGATGGTATTCATCCCTTTGAATTGAGGTGTTTGCTCCAAAAGAAGAACTGATTTAGACAGAGGCTCATCCTCAGCACCCAAACCCAATTTCTTCAAGGCCACGACGTGTGCTATTGATTTTTCCTTTAATGTTCGTTGGATGTATTGTACGACCATATCTATCGGAAATTAATACCGTGCATGATTCATGAAGTGGAAGTGAAACTTACTGATAGCAACTCGATTTTCTACACCTCGTGGCACAATAATATCTGTTCAAAGGATTAGCCATCTGTTGTGAAACATGATGGAGCCACACATCAACGTTAAAGCTCATCTTGTGGTATATTATGTGAGAACTTACCGGCAATTTCTCCCTGAGGCTCTACATATCGTTGGAAGTTTGGCTTCACAAACCCAAACCATTGCTTTATAACACCTTCAATATCTCTACCTCTTTCTGCGACATCTCTAAGGACTAGCGAATCAAATCAGTTGAGTCATAGTTAAGCAATTAGATCTTATCATTTAGCTGGTTGAAATGCATTTTTCATATAGAGGAGAAATCATACTTCTTCGGGATAAACAGGTATCTCCATCTGCTTGACAGAATACCTAAGACAAGTTAGTCCTCCCTAAATTCAGCTCCTTCTCTGAACGAAGAAGAAAATCACCTTCATATCTAGCAATTCAAGAACTCGAGGATCGTATAATGCAAAGATACCCTCCAATATGAGTACATGTGGTGAATATATTGATGTAGTCTCCTTCTCTCGAGCATGCTTTGCAAATGAATAGATCGGGATCTCAGCTCTCTTTCTAAACAACAAAATTAATATGACAATGTATAAAGTAGAAAGTATACATGTAATTTGCTTCTCTCAAAATGTAGCAGCTTAGATAACACTTACCCTGCTTTCAGGTCTCGCAATATCTCGACTAGTCTATCGAAATCTATTGCGTCCGGTGAATCAAAGTCATATTCATTCAAAAATGCTTTTCGTGACCCTTCCGCGTCTAACGACTTATAAAACGAATCCTTTTTTTTTCATAATCATTAATGGGTCGATTGATATAGGAATGAGGAAAAACGGAATTACCATGCTGAGAATGCAAACCCATGGCAAGTTCATTTGAGAGATAATGGCATGAGACAAAGTAGATTTTCCCGATCCAGAACTTCCAGCTATGCCTATGATACTAAGTCCAGCCCATGGAGGAGAGTAGTGAGCTTGTTCCTTCACACATACAGCCATTGTGAATATCGGTGGAAAAATGATGATTATGTTATGCAGTTCTAGGTATCTGGAGGCTTCAGCAATCCATGTTAATAAGAGAAAAAGAACATAAGACTAGGTGAGTGAGCAATTTGGGTACGGCAGCACAATATATACAGAAGCAATTATACCTAATAAGTACACTTTAAGCCATTACATTTTTTGCGCAGGAGGGGTTGCGGTCGTCTTTTTTATAGATCACGTGATCCGTTACGTAAGGTCGTCTGAATCTTAGCCTATAAGGGTTTAGACTCTGGAGCAAGCTCCTACTTCTACTTGAAATCTCAAATCAAAGCTTTCCTTTCCTTTCCATTCTTCCAATAACCTCATTTTTTTTGGCCAACCATCATCTTTTCTTTATTCACACCAATAAAAACTTGTAATAATTGTATCAGTGCTGGACACTTCAAGACCACTTACAATTGTTTTCTACCTCTTTATGGACAAGAGATAATTTTTTGTGTTGTAAGAATGGTACGTAAAGAAATACTCTTGATAGCTTTGTGGATATCAACCAGTAGCTGACTCGATTCAAACGATAGGCCTCTTCAACAGCTACCGCAACACCCTCAAGACTTAACACATTTGAGAGTCCACTTTCACATACAGCATTCGAAAAGCGTGTCGACAATGTAAAACCAATGAAGAGGTAGGCGATACATTTTTCTTTCATCACTTGTTGCTTCATTGAAGCTCCATCATTGGCAAACTTTATATGATGACTATCATCAACTGGGAATCTCTCCTAAAAATTACGCATGCGGAGAACAAATTAGTTGTTAACTGATATACTGCCACTCTTACCAATTTGGCTGTCGCCCCAGCCTGACATGAATTGATAATATGCAGCCAAGCTAACCTTTATATTCATTAATAGTGACATCAATGCTTTGATATTAGATTATCTTACAACCGAAGGTTATCCATCTGCAGCTGCAAGGTTCTCTAAGGAAGCGAATCTTAAGCCACAACAAGCAGAAGAGTTTGTGAAAGCTCGTCAAGCTATTCAGCATTCCATACATCTGGGAAGCATACAAGATGCTATCGACGCAGTAAATGATTTGGATCCTCAGGTTAGTACTATTCAATGTTTCCTTCATCATTTCCTTGCTATGATTAAACAAGTTCATGCACCACTCATATAGCCTTCGGGTCGTTGATGAGATACAATACCATACTTCAGTCCTCAGTCTGAGCAACTTTCAACCCAACCATCATTCTTCATCATATGGCCATTGAATGTCATCTAACGTTACCCAAAGGTTCTCGAAAACAATCCAGCCCTCCATTTTTCACTCTTGCGACTACAACTGGTTGAGCTCATTCGGTCTTCAGGCAGTGATGTCGCTCCTGTCATAAATTTTGCCAGGACTCAACTTGCACCTCGAGCTGCAACCAATCCGGATTTTTTAGAAGACCTTGAAAGGACAATGGCTCTACTAGTCTTTCAGCCGGATAACCTGGAGCCAAAGCTAGCTACGTTAATACACCCTGACCTTCGAAGGTCTGTCGCAGATAAAGTTAACAAAGCTATACTACAATCTCAGAATAAACGTCGAGATGCGGCCATTAGAGATCTTGTCCGCCTACGTGCCTGGGCTGAGAACACTGCACGGGATGCAAAAAAGGAAATACCGCCTCTTATCGAGCTGGGTCTCGATAATGATGACCATGATCATGATAATATACATGGTGATGGATCCCATGCACAACAAACAATGAATGAAGCAATGATGATGACATGAGTGGGGTATTGAATTGGTTATATTTGGCGTTTGGGTTCCTGCCAACATTATTATACCCTTTTCGAAGTTGTTTCGGGTAGAACTTCTTCACAAATGTCATAGGATGGAATTGGCGTTTAACGGTAGGAATAATCATTATTTATCAGTACATAAGGAATCCGGATACCGGATTCAATTAATATAAAGGTCATTTGATAACTTATCATGCATATGATACTTCTTGTAAACTTTGTGCTATCCCAAATTGTGTATTTCATTCATTCATTGACAGAAGCAATGCCTACCTACTTACAATAGACATTTCTCGATTAAGAAGCCCTTTGAAGTAAAATAAAGAACAGTTTTTGATCCTTCATAATCGTCGTTACCTACTCCCACTTGCACATTCTACTCTACATTCGAAGTATAACAAGAAAATTTTGTCCATCTTTACGTCGTACGGCATCTAGTGGGGACTATTCTCCGAGATACCCGTGAGCGGGAGGGACGGACTGAAGGTGATGGGCGATGGTGGGGAGGAGTGAAATGAGTACGTCAGAGAAAAAGAGAAGCCCAGAATCTCGTTCCCCTACAACTTGGCAAAAGCTTCATACACCTAGAAATTCATCCATACGAATACCTTCTTTTTTGCCTCGAGACCGACTTCCCTAGAATAGTTCTTATATCAAATTGTTAATTCATTACTTTCTTAATGTTCAATTGAATTATGAGCTTCAGTTATTAATTGAGTAAAGAAAGTGTCACCAGCAAGTTTAATGACATACACAAGTATGCTCCTACGCCAACCCGCCTCATCTCTTGGGAGAATTGGCAGCAATCATTCTCTACTACTTCGCAGATCGCCATATTCTTCTGTCAGTCGATCTGCACTATCCTTCAGTTCTCTGCCGGGTCAAAAGTTCTCTACGGGTTCAAAAAGACCTCTAACAGCTATCACAAACCCGGCGAAATGGGGCAAACTTCCCATAACACGAAATGTTCGATTCGTATCTGGTAAACCTTTACCACAACGAAGGTCAAAAGCTTTGAACTTTCTATATCGATCTGCGGCTTTGCTGGGAGGTTCGTTAATAATCTTGGGAGTTGGCGTTATTGGTTTCTTCGTCTATGATGCTACGACATATCGTGAAGATTTATCTTACTCGGATATTTCAATCTCAGAGCTTGCTTTGTCTCCGCGATTGGGAGGTCCGAAGAATTTACCCATCGCTGAAGTTCAAATTGACGATGATGATTCTGAGGAAATGCAAATGCAGAAAGATAAGCCAAAATTGGTCATTCTTGGAGGTGGATGGGGAAGCGTTGCATTGTTGAAGACTTTGAACCCAGATGACTATCATATCACTTTAGTTTCGCCCACCAATTATTTCCTCTTCACACCTATGTTACCTTCTGCAACGGTAGGCACATTGGAATTTCGATCTCTGGTGGAACCAATTCGACGGATTATTACAAGAGTTAAAGGTCATTTCATAAGAGCTACGGCAGAAGACATTGAGTTTTCGGAAAAGTTGGTAGAATTGGCCGGGAAAAGTCCAGATGGTAAAGAAGTTCGATTCTATTTACCATACGATAAATTGGTTATTGGGGTTGGATCAACAACAAATCCTCACGGAGTAAAGGGATTGGAAAATTGTCATTTCTTGAAGGACATTGATGATGCTCAAACTATCCGAAATTCGATTTTGACCAATTTGGAATACGCATGTTTACCAACAACAACTGATGAGGAACGAAAGAGATTGCTTTCTTTTGTTGTTAGTGGGGGTGGTCCTACTGGAGTAGAATTCGCTGCCGAATTGTTCGATCTTTTGAATGAAGATCTCACAGCACACTTTCCTCGTATTCTCAGAAATGAGATCTCCGTCCACGTTATTCAGAGCAGAGGTCATATTCTGAATACATATGATGAAGCGGTATCCAAATACGCCGAGGAAAGATTCGCTCGTGATCAGGTGGATATTCTTACCAATTCTCGAGTTCAGGAAGTCAGACCAGATAAAATTCTCTTTACGCAAAAGGGAGAGAATGGTGAATCAGTCATCAAAGAATTGCCCATGGGATTTTGTCTTTGGTCTACAGGTGTTTCTCAAACCCCATTCTGTCAAAGAATTGCTGCAGCACTTGGCTCCTCTCAAACCAATCATCATGCTCTAGAGACCGATACACATCTTCGTCTAAATGGTACACCATTAGGAGACGTCTATGCAATTGGTGACTGCGCAACTGTCCAAAACAATGTTGCTGATCACTTGGTTACTTTCCTCCGAACTCTCGCATGGGAAAAAGGACAAGATCCTGAGAAAGTCCAACTCACATTCCGCGATTGGCGAGACGTTGCACAAAGAGTCCGAAAGAGATTTCCTCAAGCTGCAGATCATCTCAAACGTGTGGATAAACTCTTCCAAGAGTTTGATAAAGATCAATCCGGCACTCTCGATTTTGGCGAATTAAGAGCACTCCTCATGCAAATCGATAGTAAACTTACGTCGCTTCCTGCCACCGCCCAGAGAGCTCATCAACAAGGTCAATATCTAGGACACAAATTCAATAAAATGGCAAGAGCAGAACCGGGAATGAGAGTTAATGATATGCGTGATGGAGATTTGGACGAAGCTATCTACAAAGCTTTTGAATATCATCATTTGGGTAGTTTGGCTTATGTGGGAAATTCGGCCGTCTTTGATCTTGGAGGAGGATGGAGTTTTGCGGGAGGACTCTGGGCGGTATATGCTTGGAGAAGTGTCTATTTTGCGCAGAGTGTGAGCTTTAGAACCAGGTGTTTGTTGGCGATGGATTGGGCTAAGAGAACACTTTTCGGAAGAGGTATGTTTTAATCAAGACAGAGATAGAGATGATTTTGATGGCTAATGCATAAACAGATCTGATGAATTGGTAGATTCGTCTACCGAGGGATTACTAGGGAAGGGATACTTGGAAAGAATGGCAGGTGGTGAATTCGATTTGTATTATAGGATAGGGTTGGATAGGATGGGGTTGAGGACGGATCAGAAAATTTCTTCAAGCAGTACGGGTACTGATTAGCTAGAATGATTCTAAAAGCGGTTTAAGGAAGAATGGGAAAATGGAGGGGAGGAAAAAGACTCTGGATTCTAGAATAATTGATATTGGAGTTTTTCTGTGTGTTTTTTGGTGTGGATTGATATGAAATTAGTTGGTGGAGTTTGTTTGGTTGGTTGTTTGGTTTTGCAGATAGATAGATAGATAGGTAAATACTTGGGTAGTAAGTATAGTAGCTACCCAACTACCTCCTCCCTATCTAGGTAGGTATTAGAAAGAAATGTATTACTCCTCTTCACTGTGGCATTCCAGATTGCATTGCAGAACATGTGACACTGTGACACCTTCTGTATGGACAAGGGAATTCACTCAAGGGAATTCACTTCAAGGAAATGACTTCAATACAATGGTAACTGTATTAAAGGTATTTAGGCGAAAGCGAAGAAGACTAGTTCTTTCAGTAGTGCCTATATAAGGTCTATTATTATTTTTTATTAGTTAGTTCTTTAGATTGAATACAAATAGACATTTAGGGGCCTACACATAGTGGGAACCACGTCTTCCGTATCTCTCTCAAACCAACACCTTCCCAGAGTGTTACACTTTATCACGCAAAATCCTTCTTCCGATTCCGATTCCAGTTTCATTGCAGAATCAATGGAATTTGGTAGAGCTATGTAAGTAGGTACCTATGTAATAAGTAATGAAATCCCTCCACGGGTGCGTGCTCCTATAATTTTTTCCATCGTGGAGCCGAAAGTGTGAGTCCCTTCAAGGGGTCATGTCATCCTCGCTCGTATCGTTAAAACCCATTCATTACAAGATCAAGAAACGAAACTAATTATTATTCAAGCTTTTTATTTCTATACAGGTTAGGTATCTAGAGATCCTTTTAATTTATTCATCATTGTAAAATTTTAATACTGGTATGATATAAAAATATATATTAATTTTGAAAAAAAAAAAAAAAAAAAAAAAAGATGAATTTTTTTTAATTAATTAATTAATTAATTATTTCGTCTTGAGAAAATCAATAAAAATTAATCAATTGAATGAGAAAAATTAGATTTTATAATATTTTTACTATTATTAGTAAATTCATCACATTATATTTTTCAATTTTAAATCATAATATCTATATCGTAAAGATTAAATAAATTTCTAAAAATGTTCTATCGGTTTATTGTTAATTATTACCTAGTATCTTATCAAATTTCTATTATATTTGAAAATTTGAAATCTAAATATTCAATTCAGAAAGAATTATAGCTCTTTAAAAACACTGAAAAATGGCTATTTTTGGTGTATTTTTAAGCTACAGCCCTTATTTTTTGTGGGTCGCTGTATGTGTGAATATATGAATATATGTATCTAGATAACTCATAGCTCGAAAACTGAATGTATGTATGTATGTATGTATGTACCTATGTAATGTATGTAATGTGATGTATATGTACATGAATAAATGAGTATCTCTACTCGTTTATTCGTTGATATTTCGTCGCTAATGGTTTGTATGATATCATCAATAAAAGAATTGAACTTCCTACTTACTCTCTCTTCATCCACAATAGGAATGAGTAGTAAATGATGAATATTCAAAAACCGGTATGAACATCACATCACTTAACTCTCATCTTCTGCTCAAATCCCCCACTCTCTCAACCCTCTCCACCCAACCATCTAAACCCTAAACCCCAAACCCAACCTAACAAATCTCCTTCACCTCATCCCAAACCACACTCGTAACCTGACCATTCAAGCCCGCCACCCCCTCAAAATCACCCACTTGCACATCCGCCACAAAATCCCCAAACAATCCCGTCTTGGCATCGCGCTTTACAATTACGACTCGAGCGCTCTGTTGTAGCGCGACAGCTACAAGCGTTCCAGCTTTATTCATCGACATTTGACGCGGGTAGATGCCGCCTGAAGGAAAGAGTTGCGAGAAAGAGAGACCACCATAAGTACCATTGGAGGCGGTGTTAATACTCCAGGTTTGGAGGGTATCGGAGGGAAGAGCGGTGCTGTTGAGGGGGTGGGCGGGGGGTTGAGGGAGAGAGAGAATGGTGGCGTTGCGGGAGGAGGTGAGGATGTGTTTTCCGTCGGGCTGGGGATGTTAGTGTGTACTCGAAATTTTATTGGATATTTTTATCTCTTTATGAATAAAAGCTGATGAAAACTTAAAAAACGTATTAAAAAAAACTTACAGTCAAAAGACATTCCGCAGCGGCTGCTCCCTCAGGTATCTTTTTGTCACCATAAATACCATGACTATCAATATTGGTAAAAGTCAATCCCTCCGAGCCCTCTCCATACGTCACCTTGAAACTGGACACTGTATTCGCCAATTCCGAAACCAGATAGAAGTAAGTATCACCAGAATCTGTCACGTGAAAGACACCATGACGGGGACCACTAGCCGGAGGAGCCGTGTAGGGGGTGAGTTCTGTGAGGAGAGCGGTAGCGGGATCGATGGAGAAGACACGGACGAGATCGGCACCGAGATCGGGGACGATGATGTATTTCTCGGATGGGTCCAGGAGTGCTTCGTGGGGATGCGGGGTGAGTTGTCTCTTGAGGGGATCGGGTCCCGGGCCGGGCATGGTGAAGGTGATGGTTTGGAGGGGGGAGAGAGTTCCGTCTGCTTGGATATTGTGGGTGGTGAGAGAGGCACCATTGCTGTTGTTTGTTAGTATGATGTATTGATTTGTGTGGTGGAAAAATCTGAATGTAGATGAGAATATCACACGTACTAATGAGCAGCGGCCATGGTTTTTCCTTTGTTGAAAAGAACCGAACTAACAGGACCACTGATGGTCAAACCATTTCCCAATAAAGTCAACGAGCCATCGTCAGCAACGGTGAAGCTGGAGATGCTTCCATTGGTGACACTTAAACCTTCGTTTAAACAATACAAGATACCATTTTTGGGATCTTTATGTAACCACGAAGGATTATCTGTTGTCACATTATTGACGGACAAAGTATTGAGCGAATATGAACCATTTAACGATTTGGATAATTGCAAGGTACTGATGGTACCAATGTAAGAGGAAACGAATAGATTTGCGGTAATGGTACCGTTAACAAAGACATCTCTGGGATGGAAACGCATGATGAAATATGTGTATGTTTGTTTCAGGAAATGTGTACTGAAGAAGAAGATGGAGGGAATGGAAGAGGAAATAGAAGAAGAGAAAGTCGAAGAGAAAGTGGAAGAGAATGTCGAAAGAGAAAGTCGAAAGAAAAGAAATATTCCAAGACTGAGTAATAGCCCCATCTTGAGGGAAAGAATTATGAATAACTATATGTACCTTATGTATGTGAATGTTTAATAGATGAAGGGCGGGGAATCAGTCACTTGGCAATGAGGCTATTAGATTTGGTGAATGGATACCTACTTGGGGATGAGTGAGGTTGAGGTTGCGGTTGTGGTGTGATTATTTGGATTGATTGTTGGTTACCTATGTTACGGAATATCTTTACCTAAAAATGATTGACATGATTGACATGATTAAAATGATTAAAATGATTAAAATGATTAAAATGATTAAAATGATTAAAATGATTAAAATGATTAAAATGATTAAAATGATTAAAATGATTAAAATGATTAAAATGATTAAAATGATTAAAATGATTAAAATGATTAAAATGATTAAAATGATTAAAATGATTAAAATGATTAAAATGATTAAAATGATTAAAATGATTAAAATGATTAAAATGATTAAAATGATTAAAATGATTAAAATGATTAAAATGATTAAAATGATTAAAATGATTAAAATGATTAAAATGATCAAAATGATTAACATGATCAAAAAATTAGTCCAAAGATGGAAATATGATTGAAGAATTTAAGCTTATATTGATGAATCCTTGCTTGATGATGATTTATTTCTGAATGGAGAATCATTTACCTGTGAAGGATGGGATGATGAAGATTGAAGATTAATATGTTGTATGAGGATGATTATCCGGGGGCGGGGAGGGGGAGAGAGGGAGGTTGAAAGATGAAACATGAACATGGTAGGGAAGATGGATGGTTGGATGGTTGGATGGATGGACATTGGGATAATTAGCAGCCAGGTGGTTATAACTTATGAGTAAGGTCAATTAACTAGGTTGGTAGGTAGAGATCGAGTCATGTTACATCTGACATCTGACATCTCCCCTGTCCCATCTTATAATAGATGGCGGTCGTGGTTGATGGAGAGGTGGGTGCAGTTGGTTTGGTCCTGATGAAAGGTTAGCTCGAGGTTAGTAGGAGTGACCGGTGTCGGTTTGACTGGCAGAAGTTGGATTGATTGGGGCTGGATGGCTTCTGATAAAGTTTCATCGTGCGAGCGAGTCGGACCGTGAAAAGGAGCCAAGAGAGGAAGATTTGTTGATATCCTTTACCCGAGTGTGAAGTTGCTTACTCCGTATGGAAATGATTGGTAATGGAGTGGAGGGAGGGAGGAGGTTTGTAGATAGATGTAGTTCTGACTCCGTAGATACCGAGTAAGTACATATTGGATGTTTGAGGTATTCCGGTACCAAGCATTCGAGTGGGATCGAATCAATTTTAATATCGGAATGGGATAAATGCTGAAGCAAATCCATATTCGAAAGAAGGATTGTTTACCAACCAATGCGTATGGTAGATGAAAAAGATGAGATGCTTCAATTACTTTCCTCTCTCTCTCTCTCTTCACGGCCAGACCTTATCGCATTGCATATTACCTAGTAGTTGGAAGAAATCCAAGCTTCGCCCCCTCCCAACTACCCACCGCCAATTTGCCAAGGAGAGAGGGATGGAGCGAGGGAGGGATGGAGCGAGGGAGGGAGGGAGCGAGGGAAGTAAGAGGTTCGAGAGAATATTAATTGGGGAGCTTCTTATTTCTGCAGTGGTCAGCCAAACAGTCAAATAGTCAAACAACCTTTGAGAGTACAACATGAATCAAAGGTAATATAACCTTACACAATTTGGGGGGTTTTAATTATTATCGCTTTGGTTACTTGAGATGTCTTTTAATCCACAATCTAATTTACATATTAGAGTTGTTATTATTATACTCAACAAATTCCTTTTTCTCTACCTACCAGGTCCCTAGATTCATTACCATGGTATCTTTATCCAAAGACCATATTGTATTATTAGTCCTTTGATTCCATCTCCATTCTGATTTTGGAGTTCTGATGACTCAAGCTGGTGACGCTTTATTCTCATATTCTTATACTTTTATACTGTTATAGGTACTCTAATATTTTTATATAATACTTTACTCTCATACTCTCACGCTCACT